TGAAATACACTGCTGAGGGGAGCAGAGGGCTAGACAGGAGAGGTCTGCTGCACCATGTGGGTAGCTCCCTGACGGGGATGGAACTTGTGCTGCAGTGGCTGCTAATAGCTTCATAGTGCTGAGACTTAACCTCTTGCGCCACCAGGGAGGTCCAAAATGGATCTTGCCTTTAAAGAAGGTATTGCTAGACACTGTTCCAAGATAAGTTGGACTCCTGACTAGGCACTTTCCCTAGACCTTGGGCCCATAAAACCATCAAAATTAATCTTCCTTGACCCCCATCTTCTCTACTCTTGACTTCTTTTAGTTACAACTAGAAAATATTGAGAGAAATAAAAAGCTGTTCCCTGCCTAAAGACAAAAGTCTATTTTTTTTGGGGGGGGGGCGGGGAACAAACCCTTGAGTAACAGTTGTATTTGTAGAAGCCAAAGCACAAAGACTTTTTGTCTTTATAGTACTTCTGTCTTATTTACATGGTTTTCACTAATCTAAGTAATTATGTGCTCATGTGGACAGAATTGTTGCTACTTGATCCAAGAGATGGGTGGAGAAGCACCTGCTTTTAGTCATTTAAGTCTTGTTGCTTTTGCATTGCATCCAAGAAAATAGTTAACACACAAAAGTAATTTGCCTTTTCCTGAGAATGAGAAGGAGAATTTCTTTGGTTTCACCCTCTGAGGAAGGGCAGAGGGAATTCCCAAGAGGTGGACTTTCTCTGTTTATTGAAACCATCAAGGATCCCACAGGGAAAAATGATTCTTGAGTTTTGGCTTTTCTTTCCCATTCTCCCTCTCTGCCATAGAATTTAGCACTGGAAGAATACCAGTTTTTGTTCTTTATTGGTGCTACCACCTGTTCTTATGCTGAACTAAATGTTCTTGGCTTTCTTTGGTGTGAACAGGATCTCCCTCTGGGAAAGGTGGGAGGAGGGTGAAAATGGGAGCAGGAGGAGGCCTGTTCCAGCTTTGTGCTCATGTGAGAGGGACACACAGGGGTTAGTGTGCTGCCTAAACAGAGGGGCTTTTGTGCTACAGCTTCTTCCAGAGCTGCGAACTCCACAAATGCATGCTGGGTGGACTCAGGCAGCTTCATCCCTGATACAGTTGCTTCATCCTAACAATAGTAGAGCAAGACAGATAAAAATAATTAAAATCAGAAAATAAAGAAGCTTCATGCAGAGGTCATTCTGACTGCATTCAGATGGTCATTGTGCATGGAGAAAGCTGCTTGTAATTAAGAGGTGAGCAAAGAGTTTAGCATGGGGACTTTAGTGTCACTGAACCAAGAGTGGATCTATTGTTGCAGGTCCACTGTGGGTGCAGGAAGATTTCTGACTTTAGGTCTTTCCCTTTCTTTGCTGAAATCCCTGTTATATAGATTATGGAAAATGCTATTCTTGAACAGAAGCAACAATCATATCATTTCCCAGACCTCAGAGATTGGGGAGGAAACTCAGGGTAGAAATATTTCTGACTCAAGGTCCTTATTCAACATGGGTCAGTGGCAGACAGACTCCTTAGTAACCTAAAATGACCTCCAAAGATGACAATAATATTAATAATAATATAATAGCATTTATATTGCTAGACATTAGTCTAAGATATAATTAGACAGATAAATAGAAATATAGATTACTTTTTAAATCCTCATATAACCCTAGGAAGTAAAATTTTATTATTAGTCCTTTTTTTATTTTTTTTAAATTTTAAATATTTTTTACACCATTTTTCATTTTTGAAGCTTCCATATGATCCAGCAATTCCACTCCTAGGTATTTACTGAAAGGACATGGAAACATTAATTCAAAAGGACACTTGCAGGCCTCCCTGGTGGCGCAGCGGTTGAGCACTGGGTTGCGAAGCTGCCCGCGGCCTCTGTGGCGCCAGTTCGATCCCCTGCTGCTCCCCCGCCACCGGAGGAGGGTCCCACATGGCGCGCAGATCTCTCTTGCCGTCCGCTGCTCCCCTCAGCAGTGTACTTCGGTCCTTCTGCCTGCTCTGCTCCCCGCTCTGGCTCTGGTGAATTCTCTCACCCTCCCGCGCTTCTGACTGTACCCAGTGCATGTATAAACAAAAAACAAAACAAAACAAAAAAAAAACCAAAAGGACACTTGCACCTCTATGTTTATAGCAGCACTATTTACAATAGCTAAGCTATGGAAACAACCCATATGCCCAAAAATAGATGACTGGATCAAGAAGATGTGGTACATATACACAATGGAATATTACTCAGCAATCAAAAAAGTTAATCCTTTTTTAAAAGAAGAAACTGAAGTTTAGAAAAGTTAAGTAACTTGTTCAAGAGCATACATATGGTAACTAATAAGGCTAGGATTTTGAACCCATATTGTTCTTGTTCCAGTGTCCTTGCTCTTAAATATTATGTTATGCCATCACTCTAGGCCTGTCTTTTCTCAAACAGGGTCACCTAAACCTCAGCACACAGAAAGTGATTTGAGCGACTATTTTCTTGATTCTTTCTTGCGTGCTAACATTAACTAATACTCTGCATAGGAAAGAAGTTAATACATTAGGTGCTTATAATATTAGACCATCTAAGGGCTTAATTCTTCAGGATAAAGACTTGATAAAGACTAAAGGGGCTACGGTTTACAAATATGTCTGTACAGAACTATCTTGGAACTGATTTCCCTTTGATTTGTTTTGGAATAGTTTTGAACTCTGAACAAAGGACCAACCTTCATCTTCCTCTTGCTCTAGAGATAGAGCCTTTGTCAGCAGTAATGTCTTACCATTTATATTTGGGAAGAGCAGATTGAGATGTGGTCACTATTTCACCAAGCTGAGATGACTTTTAGCAAATCATCAAGTGGCCCACCATTATTTATAGAAGTTTTTTTCTAGGTTCTAACAGGGAATTAAAGGACAAAAATTCTGACATAGTCTACAGAGTAGACTCAGATAATAACTAAGTAAAATACATGATATGACAGATGGCAAAGATAACATGTAAGGGTGGGAGGCTTGTGTAAGAGGGGTTGGAGCTTGCAATTTTAAATAGAATGATCGGGAAATACTATATTGAGAAGGATATATTTGGATAAAAATCTGAAGGAATGAGTGACTGAGTTGCTGATAGGTGAAGTAAAAATGAGGACCAAGAATTGATAATTCTAGGTTGGTGAGGCCTTCTGGTCTTTTTTTTTTTTTTTCCTTTAAGATTTATTTATGTACATAAGAGCTGGAGTGTAGGCCAGAGGTATGGAGGTGGAGGTGAGAGAATTCACCAGAGACAGAGTGGGGAACAGAATAGTCATATCCACTGAAATACACTGCTGAGGGGAGCAGTGAGTGAGACAAGAGAAGCCGTCTGTGCCTTGTGGGTTAGCTCCCTGGCTGGGGATTGAACTTGTGCTGCAGTGGCTGCTGACAGCTTCTGTAGTGCTGAGACTTAACCCCTTATGCCACCAGGGAGGGCCGAGGCCTCCTGTTCTTAAACCATGCAGGTAGATTTATAAAGTTGTCTCATTTCTGACCTCACTGGCAAGTCTGAAAAATAATCGTTGGATATTTTTTTAATTGAAGGAATAACTAACAGGAAATTCAATTGAGTGGCATTTTTTGACCTGTTGATATGTAACTCATTGTTAAGTCGCTTATCTGAATGGTCTACTGAGGATTTGGGCCTTGTGATATTAAAGAGCGCACATTCTGATCTCGTGAGGAGGGTCCAATACCAAATTCAGAAGAACTCATTAAACCGGGTGCCACCTGTTGCCCCTCTGTTTCCATTCTCTGGCCACTATATTCATCATTGTTTTAGGTGTGCATAAAACAGAAGATAGATGCACCTATTGTTTACTTACACCAAGAGAAAAAAATGTTGCACATTAAAAGACACCAGAAGACTGGAATATATTTGTCACAAGTAGTACTCATCAAAAGACCCAGAAAAACTAAATGTAGTTTGAATGAATAAAACCAACTAGTCTAATTGCTGATGAAGATACAGGGAAATCGATTTATATTCATGCACTGGTGGAAGTATAAATTGGCATAATGTCTTTAAAAACAGCAAAAAATTGGGAGGCTGCCAAAATGTCAATAAAGAAATGGATGATAAATGTGGTAGAGTTACCTGATGAATTACCATACAGCAGGAAAAAGATATGAACCAAGTCTATGTAATATATTATCATGGCTAGATCTCAAAAACAATGCTGAATTTTAAAAAAAGTAAAGTTAGGTGATATTTAAATTTTTTTTTTTTGAAGTAACATTGCATTATAACATGTAAGTTTCTGGTATGCATCATTATAAATTAGTCTTTATATTATAAATTAAGTTCACTACAGTGTCATGCGATTTACATAAACAAAACCACACATAAAAGTATACCATGTATCATTTAAGGTTGTATATGTATATTTATGCATATGTATGTGAAAGTATTAAAAAAAAGATTATGCAACAAACTCATGATAGTGAATGACTGGTGGAGAGTGGGCATTCTTAAATAGAACCCTGTAGATTGAAAGTAAGCGTAACAGAATACTTTTTGCTGTTAGACATGTGGGTGTTAAGTTATTCTTTGTACTTTCAGGTAATTTTATATAACTAAACAATTTAAAAGAAGGGGGCCAATTTCATAGAATGAGCCCCCAGGGAATACTTTACAAACTATTTACATGTAATTTATCCCTATTTACCTGACCACCTACATCTATCTATATCAGAGGAAGTGAGGTAATTGCATTACATTAATTTATGGCAGTGGTCTCTCCTAATGTGTCCTGGATGGCTTCACATTCAGATGGAGAAACACAAATCCTATTAGTACAGGCCAGGCATGTTATTTTGACTCTTGATCTTTCACTTTTTTATTACTAACTGCAAGCATATCAACTCCTGGGAAGTACATTTGGTACCTTTGGTTCTATAGCTATAATCATGGACTTGCTAGCATCACAGACTGGGATGTACAGGAGCTTAATAACAGCATTGTGCTTTTCTCTTGTCTAACCTCTTCCCTACAGGGAATCTTTAACCAGTTTCAGTGTAGTAGTGAGAAAGTGCTTCCATCTGACACTCTCCGCAGTGCTCTGGCAAAGACTTTTCAGGATGAACAGCGTTTCCAGCTGGGAATTATGGATGATGCTGCAGAGTGCTTTGTAAGTGCTGGCCTCTGGCCCTGTTTAAGATGGGGTAGGACTGTTGATGGTCTCCATCAGAGGCTGGCTACTTTACTGAGGAATTGACTGTGCCTTGTTCTCTACAGTTAGAACTAGGGATTTCCCTAGTTTGTTAAGCTCTAGGTTGTCTCTGCTAATGCAGGGATCATTAAAATACAGATTGCTGGATTCGACTCCCTTGAGTTTCTGATTGATGAGTTCTAGAATGGGCTCAAAAATTTATCTAAAAAGTTTTCAGGTATGCTAATAATGATGTTGCTGGTTTGTGGGGACCACACATTAAGACTTCTGCTTTACTAAAGATAATTAAAGAACAATTGAGTCCCTAGCACAAGTATGATATGCCATTTAGGTAGCTACTTTGCTTCTGCTGACTTTTAGTAGAAGATTCCAACTTTCCTGAACTCTGAGTTTTACCCATTAAACTTCAAACAACTTTCTCCATTAAATAAATCTGAGAGTGATATATATCACATCGCAGGGTAAAATGTTGGCCAAATCAGAGTTACTCCTAAGAAACTGGATTACAGAGATATTGCTGGTGGGAACATAAAATATCATAGTCTCTTATGACAAACAAAATAGTTTGTCAGTTTGTTAAAAAAACTGAACTTGCAAACTACCGGCATTCCTGGACATGTATCCTAGAGAAATGAGATCATACATTCATACAAAAGTCAGTACATGAATGTTCATAGAAGCTTTATTCATAATAGCCAGCAAAAAAAAGGGGAAACCACCCAGATATCCTTTAGTGGGTAGATAGTGAAACAAATTGTGATTTCATACCTTGGAATACCGTGTAGCAACTAAAAGGAGCGAACTATTGTTTTATCTATCAACTTAAATGGATCTTAAGAAAATTCTGCTGAGTGAAAAATATAGTATCTAGAGCTTATTATACTGTATATTTCCATTTATATAAAATTCTTAGGTGAAATAACAAAATTATAGAGGTAGGAAAACAGATCAGTGGTTGCTAGGAGTTAGGGTTGAAATTGGGTAGGTAAGGCTTGTAGTGATAGAATAGTTTTATATCTTGAATGTGGTAGAAGTTAAGTGATTATATGTGGTAAAATTGCATAGTCTGCGCGCGTGCACACACACACACACAAGTATAGCTGATAGATTGTGGATTATATTAATGTCCATTTCCTGGTTTGAATGTTGTACTATAGTTACTCAAGATGTTACTACTGAAGGAAAATGGATGAAGAATGCATTGTCCTTCTGTACAATTTTTTTAAAACTTTCTGTGAATTTATAGGTATTTCAAATTAAAAAGAAAAAATCAGAGTTATTCCTGCTTTCTAGGAGGGTTACTGTTTTTTGGAGTAAACTGTTTACCAATTTGTACAGTTGTCTTTTAAGTATTGTTGATGCATTACTTTTATTCTTACTGTCAGGAAAACCTCCTGATGAGAATTCACTTTCACATTGCTGATGAAACCAAAGAGGATATATGTACTGCCCAACACTGCATTTCCCACCAGAAATTTGCAATGACGTTGTTTGAGCAGGTGAGCCATCTCTCTGTCTTTATCACTTCTTAGACCTTTTCTTCAACAATTTATTCCAGGATATGGGGTGTTAAATAGTACAAAAACAGTTATTGACTGTGACTGCTTAGTTTTGTTTTGTTTTCCTTGGACCCAGTGTGTATGTACTAGCTGTGGTGCCACTTCTGATCCGCTGCCTTTCATCCAGATGGTGCATTACATCTCTACCACTTCTCTTTGGTGAGTCTTAGAGGATTCTCTATTTATACTATTAGGTACTCCTTCAGTTCACTGAGTTTTAACTAAAGTCATCCAAATAGCTTATATTCTTAATTACTGAGTCTCTGCTGCATTGTAGGAATACAGAACAGTAATTTTAAAATAACCTTTGTTTTCTTTCTTTCCTTTCCTATCTTTTTTTCTTAGACTAATTTCTGCCTAGAAAAGTGGGAGGAGGAATGGGGATTCTATGAGCTTTGACTTATGGGACAGGCAGAGGCACTCACTGGGTTTGTGGGATACTGAGACTGGTCAGGACAAGGGACTTTGGTATAGCAGACAGAGGAATAGGCTCACACATGTGGGTTAAGAGTTTGCATGAATGATTGATTTCATTTAGCTATAACTGTATAATTCCCACCATCATCCCCCTCCCTTCCATTCCTCATCTTAAAGCAATCAGGCTATCTGTATGCTGGAAAGACGAGAAAAACCCTCACCAAGCATGTTTGGTGAACTGCTGCAGAATGCCAGCACTATGGGGGATCTGCGGAACTGTCCGGTGAGTTACATGAAAGGTGGTATTGGAACTAGGAAAGGGAACACTGGGATCAGTAGAATTGAGACCACGCCATTGAAAAACAGTTTAACTAACTTTATATGTGTATTTCAGAGCAACTGTGGAGAGAGGATCCGGATTCGTCGTGTATTGATGAATGCCCCACAGATTATCACAATTGGACTGGTATGGGACTCAGACCACTCAGACTTGGCAGAAGATGTCATTCATAGCCTGGGCACCTGCCTTAAACTGGGTGATGTGAGTGTTAATTACTCTTATCTCTCACTTAAAGTTCTTATTGTGTAAGGACAGTGAACACTGAACTCATAGAGCAAATATTACCGTGTCATGAACTTGTGCATATATTGTGTATACATATTTCATGTACACAATATTTGATCACACACTTTCTTACCCCCTACTTAGGCTATCAGCAGAAAATTTTATTTGTGGGGTCAGCTGATAAGTAGCTTTGTGAACTTGAGAGTGTTTTGTTTTTTCAACTTTCATGGCTCCTCTTCTGATAGGTACTAGTAAGACCTGTCATATTTCACCACCACCATACCAGTTCACCGATCACTATCTCTCTTGATATTCCCTATATTTTGTCTTTTTTGGTTCATTTCTGATTAATATGGACTAGCAAAGTATCATATACTAAATCAAGTCAGTACCTTAATTAAGAAGTGATGGTGTCCACTGAGAGATGATGTGAGGCAGTGGAGTATGTGACTGTTTTTTTCTTTCTCTTCTCTCCCCGCAGCTGTTTTTCAGAGTGACAGATGACCGGGCCAAACATTCTGAACTGTACTTAGTAGGAATGATCTGTTACTATGGCAAACATTATTCTACATTTTTTTTCCAAACGAAGATCCGCAAATGGATGTATTTTGATGATGCTCATGTCAAGGAGGTAGAAATATTAAGCCCCTTTTGAAGTGATTAATGACTGCAGCAAAACCCTAAAATTAATTATTTGTCTTTAGTGTTTCATTTTCATAATTTTGATGTCTCCCTATCGAATTTTTTTAAAGATTCATTTATTTATGCGTACAAGAACGGGGGTACAGGCCAGAGGTGTGGGGGGTTAGAGGATTCACCAGAGACAGAGTGGGGAACAAAATAGGCAGCTTGACTGAAATACACTGCTGAGGGGAGCAGTGGGCGAGTCAGGAGAGGTCTGCTGTACCATGTGGGCAGCTCCCTGGCCAGGAATCAAACTTGTGCTGCAGTGGCTGTGGATAACTACATAGTATGCACCTTTAACCCCTGGTGCCACCAGAGAGGCCCTGCTTATCGAATTTATGAAATTATTTGTCTTGTCTTCCTTAATAAATTGCAAGTCCTTGAGGATAAAATCAGTATATCTTCTATTATTTCTCTATGTCACTCTTAGCAGGCATTCAGTACAGTTCTGTATTTATAGTTGAGAAGTTTATTTATTTTTACATTTTAAAGGACAGGTTTATAAGGAAAAGGAGAAAGAAAAAGAGAGGCACATGCATAGACACAGGCGGGCAGGAGTGCTGTGACAAAATATTTTATTTTATTATTATTTTTTAAAAGATTTATTTGTTTATGCAAGAAACGGGTTACAGATGCTTGGGAGGGTGAGAGGATTCACTAGAGACAGAGTGGGGAACAGAACAGGCAGACTGAGGAAATACACTGCTGAGGGGAGCAGTGGGCGAGTCAGGAGAGGTCTGCTGCACCATGTGGGATTCTCGCCACCCATTGAACCCACGCTGCAGAGACTGCAGACTGCTTCACAGTGCAGTGCTTAACCACCTGTGCCACCAGGGAGGCCCAAAAAAATATTTTTAAAATGCATTAAAACCCCTGGTGGTGCAGGGATTTAAGTCTCAACACTATCAAGCTGTTGCCAACCACTGCAGCTTGAGTTCGATCCCCGACCAGGGAGCTAACCCACATGGCAAGGCAGACCTCTCCTGTCTTTGTCCCCTACTCCCCTAGGCAATGTATTTCAGTATATTTCCCTGTTCTGCTCCCCACACTGTCTCTGGTGAATCCTCTCACCCCCTGCACCTCTGACCTATACCCCAGTTCTTGTATGCATAAATAAATAAAATAAATCTTTAAAAAATGTATTAAAAGTTGATTTGAGCAAGAACAGTGTAATTTCTCAATTTAGGTTTTAAGGTTAGAATGAAGTTCAGGATTCCAAATCTTGACTAATACTTTGTCTCAGGGTTGCTAGAAATTACTGTTCGATTGTTATTTCCTTGAAGTACTCTGTCACAGATGAATGTGTTTTTGAGATATTGTAGGAAAAAAAGGGCTATGATGATATTTAAGGGTTAGGTGATATGCATGAGTTAAGAAGCCCTGTTATAGGTTAGCAGGTAGGAGACTGTATTCTATACCAACCCATGGACTCAAAGCAGTATCTTCCACAAATACTATAAAGTCTTTGTTAAAATCCCAGATTTTCTTAATTCTTTTTTTGCTGTTGTAATTTTGAGCCACTCATATCAATTCTTTGAGGTTTAGATTTTTTTATTTGAGAAGTAATACCTGCCTTAGAAGCACATGTAAATGTATTTTAGTTAAAATAATGATAACTCAGTTATAAATGTACTAGATATCTGTTATAAAATAAGCACTACTCTAGTTATCCAGCTCCAAGAGCATACCATCTAAAATATGACTGTTTCAAGCTTAAGAGAGGGTAAGTTAGGGGATTTACTTAGATTTTTGTTTCCATGGCTATTCTGTCATTCTTTTTTCATTGCTATGGTAGTACTGAGTTTAGCATAAAGCTAATACCCAGAGGTTCAGCTGTCTGTTCTAAGCAGTTTGACATTTGTGTCTTGCCTTATATGAACTCTGAAAAAGAATGTCATTTATTCTAAGACTGTGAGAAAGTTTCTGTCTGTTCTTTAACCTCATAAAAGTTATTTTAATATTTAGGGAAAATTATGGAAATGCTAATTTCAAGCTAGGAATTTAATTTGATTGAGATTTGTGCAAGAAATTAATAACAAAAGCAGCTGAAGTCTACCTTTGTAGCATATCTACCTTTGAGCACTTGTCTTTGTATAATTCATAACTGAATTGATATTTCAAACAAATAAGAGTAATTTATTCATTGCTCCATTCTTTTGCAAGATTTTAATGCTTTCAAAAAGATTTTAGCAAAAAAATTTAACAAAAAAATTAATGAAGTTTAGGTCTAAGATCCCTTGTTTCAAGGGTTAGGTGATATGTCTAGTTACTCAATTCTTGTCTTTTTATCTCTTTTATTTTTTTTTAGAAAAATAGAACAGTAAGATAATGTTTTAATTATACATATGAAGTGTAATTGTCATGTTCTTCTGATTGTTTCTGATTTAGATTGGGCCCAAATGGAAGGATGTGGTGACCAAATGCATCAAGGGTCATTATCAGCCTTTGTTGCTGCTATATGCAGATCCCCAAGGTACTCCAGTGTCCACACAGGACCTGCCACCCCAAGTTGAATTCCAGTCATTCAGTAGGACGTGCTATGATAGTGAAGATTCAGGTGAGCAGCCTAGTTCTTTCCCTTTCCCCACCCCCTGCAATGTGATCACTAGATACTTGGAACTTAATCATGAGCCTAGCACAAAACCTAGCTTGGGGAAAGAGAATCTATTAGAGATAAGAAAGAGGTGCCAGCTGGTGCAGAAACCCAAGTAACTCCAGGCTTTGTTTCCTTCAGCCTTGAAGAATGTCTAAATCACCTGGCCCTAATCCAAAAGTGAGAAGGAAGTCGAGTTGATTTAGACTGAGATAGTTAAGTTTTTAAGGAAGACCTTAGTATTTATTTAGCCTTCTAGTATTTATAAAAATGACTGATACTAGCAGTTCAACTGTGATTTAAATGAGTTATTGAGACCAAGGAAAATGATTTTAGTTACTACAAAGATGGTCATTTTGTTTGAGAGGACATTTTTGTTTTAAAATGTCAAGTTCTGTAGCAATTCCTTAGCTTATGAATCAGTTGTTCATTTGTAATTCAATTTTTGGAACTTAAATCATGTTTTCCTGTAGAAACAATTTGTGGCTTGATGACTAAAGTCTATGGCTAACTCACAGACACTTATAATATATTAGAAATATAACCCTGATGGTTTTGATTTCTTAATTGGAGGAAGACGATATGTTCTTTTCTTCTTGTAGCTCTAGAGCTGGCCTGAGTATAATTTTGAAAGAGAAGACACTTGCCTATGGAATCTTTCCTCCTCTTTTTTGTTCCTCCCTCCTACTTGTTGCCTGGTGTTCTTCCTACTCTGTACCCTACTCAGACCTACTCTACTTCAATCAAATACCCATTTCCACTGTAGCGCTTATCTCAGCTAGGTACTCAGCGGAAAGTATTCTACTTAACGAAATCACATTAAAGTATAAATAAAAGCCCCATAATTTCTCAGAGATATTAAAATGACTGTAATAGGAATTCAGCTTTTAAAGTGACATTTCTGGCAATATAGGAAAAAAATTATGGGATAGGGTAACAACTGGTTATTATGCCAGGTCGGCCTGGGACTCTCCATCTAAATAAATCTTACTTTTCACAACTTTTTCCTTTCTTCCACTTTCCCTCCCATAGGTTTTCTAAAAGCCCCACAGTTTTTCACAGTGGCAGGCAAAGTGAGGGCTTCAGCAAGGTAGGGGAAGGAGTGGGAGGAATTGTTTGTGTGTCTGGGTTATCGGAAGTTGGGTGTTGGGGAGAATGGCTCTGGTATATCCTTCTCACCCTTCCATTTAGGAAATTCTTGCCTTATGGACCTTTGTTACCTTCCATCTCTTTGCCTTCTCTTCTGTCACTGTTTTTCTCTTTCCTCACTTTTGCATATGTGTCTTCTCCTTCCCTTAGGGAGGGAGCCCTCCATCTCAAGTGATACCCGAACAGATTCCTCAGTGGAGAGCTATCCCTACAAACACTCCCACCATGAGTCTGTGGTCAGTCACTTCTCTTCTGATTCTCAGGGGACAGTCATCTATAATATGGAGAATGATTCCATGTCTCAGAGCAGTCAGGACACAGGTAGGGGCTTATACAATGGACTCTGCTTGCTCGATTCAGTTCCTGCATGGAGTCTTCCAAGAGAAAGAAACTGGGGCAAGTCATAAATGTTAGACAAAGGGAGAAAAGCACAGAACTTCGATAATTAATGGGATGAAAGGAAACAAAACCAACTCTGAATAAATGATGATGTTCCATTGTACATATTCCTGTCAACAGGGGTAAATGAATAAGGACCATTGTAATGTGATTATTGATATGACTGTTTATTTTGAAATCAGCTTTTCTCCTGCTGTGTTCATGATCCATGTCCTTCTCATTGTGCCCCATTAAACCCTTGTGGTCATGCACCTTGTTGTGTTCTCATGCCAGGCTTTGTTCCCTTGAAGGAATTTGAAAAAAGGGACATATGTCTAGGCAAGGAGCACCTGTTAAGTGTTAGGCTTCCTGAAGGACAAAGAAACAAGAGTGAAAACTAGCCTGTTTGTTATTGTGAGTTCCACGCAGAGAGAGCATTCTAGAAATTTTCTCTTAATCTGTAAAAGAGTGTGTCTATATCAGTGGAAGAAATCAATACAAGACATAAAAGAAGTGAATGACTGTTGAGTTGAAAAGTTCATCACCTAAAGCATAGAATAGTGCCCATACTCTTAAAGACTTGGGAGTTAGTGAGCTCAAAGTTTCTTATTGGTGGTTTATACTCTGTGCATGGTCTTTTTTCTTTTTAAATTGAGAATTTCAAACATATTCAAAACTATGCAGAATAGTATACTACCCCTGCATGTATCCTTAAACTAATTTCAGTAATTATAACTCGTGGCCAACCAACTTTTATCTCTACCTCTACCCACTTCACCCACTTGTAGGTTATTTTAAGCAAATCCCTGACATTGTGTCACCTTTTACATAATTATTTTAGTGTATATTTCTAAAACATAAATCAGCTTTTAAACATGCCATTATCACACTTAAAATATTAACAGTAATTCCTTAAACCACTAAACAACCAATGAGTGTTCAAATACCCAGGAGTTATGAATGTCATAATTTTTTAATGGTTTATGTGTTTGACTCAATCCAAATGAGGTCTACACAATGCAATGATTCTATAAAGGCTTTTATATTTCTTTTATTCTATAAGTTTCTCCTTCAATTTTTTCTTGCAATTTATTGTTTGTAGAACTAGGTCATTTGGCCTATAGATTTCCCTATATTCTAAAGTTTGCTAATTTTATTCCTATGGCAAACTTTAGCATATTTCTGTGTCTTGTATATTTCTTATAAATTGGTGGTTGGATCTAGAGCTTTGGTCAGATTCATTTTGAATTCCTTTTGATGACTATTGCATAGATGACTGCTGCGAAGTGTGATTTTTTTTTTTTAGGCCATATTTCTGAAACTGACTCAGGGAAAAATCAAGTCATAGGATGAACAAAGCATATTTTCTAAGAGAATCAGGTTTATGTTAAGGGTTTGTGAGTGGTTTGGGTGGGAGTTTAACATTTGTAGATTTAGTTGTTTCAAATGATTTCCTCCTGTCTTTCTTGTGGGCCCCAAAGAGGCAAAGGATTAGATAAAAGCAATAAAAGATTGCATTGGTAATTGATTGAAAATATGTAGCCAAATCATTGCACTGTTGATATCTGAGCGTGTATAAGGATTTTCCTATACAAATATATGAAAACAATTTCTGTTAGTGCTCAATGCATTTGAGAACCTAGAGGTTTTTATCTAATCCTGTCTTTTGATTTAGTTCAATTCTTAATTCACCACTAGCTTCAAGAAGCTTAGGTGATTATATTCTTTATAAACTGACCTTTGTTGTTAACAAATGATACTCATACATTCACATACTGTAGTCATGATAGTGGGGCAAGTTATATAAAAGCATTCAGATCTCCTGCTTTTCTTAGTGGTTGGTATTAAGGAACTATGAAATATATATAATCTCTGGATGAAGCCAAGTTTGGTAAAGCATGGGTTGGCAGTGGGAATAGGAATTATTGAAAGTTCAAATGATTCACATTTAAGGAAGATTAAGAACTGGATCTTAAAGTCATGCACAATCAGAGCTCTTACATGAATGGTTGAGGCCCCTGGAATAATATAAGATATAGTAAAAATGAGACTTTACTTGGTGTATGTTGCTAAATAAATAAAATGACAGCTCCGTCTTCTATTTATGAACGTAAAAATATATTGGTGGATGATATTTTTATATAATCTTTAAAATGTTTGCCATTTCATGTGTCCTATTTTGGGTCACTGGGATATATTATGAGTGGGATTAGCATTGGTAGTTGCTCAGGGAATGTAGTAAATTTGGAAATTCCCATTAAATACTTGAGCTTCTCTGCATTTTCTATTGAGAAATTTGTAGTACATTTAAATCACATAGCCTTGACCCTATAGCTCAGCTCCATGGGTATACTAAATTTGTGGCACTGTCATAAATCCCAAAGACTATGTTCTCAAGAGGATGGAGCTCAGTCTCAGATACTAGTTTACCCCCATTTCCTTGTTCTTTCAGGACACCTTACTGATAGTGAATGTAATCAGAAACTCACATCCAAGAAAGGGTCACTGATAGAGCGCAAGAGGAGCTCTGGCCGGGTTAGGAGGAAAGGCGATGAGCCACAGACCTCAGGGTACCACAGTGAAGGCAAGCCACCTCTACATTGTTTGTCTTTCTTCATTCATTCTATTTAAACTTTCTGTCACAGTTCAGCCTATGATTTCTCCTTTCTACTCAAAGGACTTTCCTTGCTTTTTCTCTGTCTTTGAGATCTGGGTATCCATGATCACTTTAAATATTTATATCTGTTTTGCTCTTTTTGTTTTAGGGGAAACACTGAAAGAGAAGCAGGCTCCTAGGAATGCCTCTAAACCATCTAGCAGCACCAACAGGCTAAGGGATTTTAAGGAGACAGTCAGCAATATTATCCATAACAGACCATCCCTGACTTCTCATACCAACCTAGGACCTCCATGTGGGGGAAAGGGAGTAGACCTTACTGATAAAAAACCTCCTAGGAACTTAACTTTACATTCTCGTGACTGGGAAGTAGAGAGTACCAGCAGTGAGTCAAAATCTAGCTCTTCTAGCAAGTACCGCCCAACATGGAGACCCAAACGGGAATCTCTGAACATTGACAGTATTTTTAATAAGGACAAACGGAAGCACTGTGGCTACACCCAACTTAGCCCCTTTTCTGAGGATTCAGGTAAGGAGATAACTAAGGAAGAATTTGACTTTTGAATGAAATTGGTTTATGTACTTTAAAAACCTGAATTTTCTTGTAGACTTGGCAAGATGCATTCCTACTATAATGTTAGGCCTTTGGGAATGTGAGTTCAGGGAATGAGCTGGATGGAGGGGTTAGTTAGTCTCCTGATTTGAAGGCGATGCTAAATCTACCTCCTTTTTCATACTTGTCCTTTGATTGGGATAGCTAAAGAATTTACACCAGATGAACTAAGCAAGCCACCTGCTTACAACATTAAAACTGGTGGACCAAGTCCTCAGTACAAGCCCTGGGGCTCAGCACGGCCAGGCTCTCACCTTTTAGAGCAGCACCCTCGCTTAATCCAACGAATGGAATCTGGCTATGAGAGCAGTGAGAGGAACAGCAGCAGTCCTGTCAGCCTGGATGCAGCCCTGCCTGAGAGCGCCACTGTCTGCAGGTATTGTTTCACCTTTGAATAGTGGACTGGTCTCTTGCAGTAAAGTGAGCCTCTCTGAGTCTTTTCAGTTCAGACAAATGGAGAGGTATACTTTATTATCGTTTTGTGAGTATTGTCTTTATCAACTTTATGGCAACAGCACCCTCTTCTGGGAGAAAGAGCAAAGGTATTTGAGAAAGCAGACAGAACTTTTTTTTTTTTTAAATAAATTTTATTTTTATATTCCCCATACAATTGCACCCCCTTATTTTGACCCCAATCCCTCCCCTCCCCGCACCCCACACCCCACAGAGTGTCTCTGGTTCATAGTTTTTTGTTGATTTTGATTTTCACTTTCTTATAGTTATTCATTTTCCTGGTCCCTTATATAAGTTACCTAGATTCCTGCTATGAGTGAGACCATCCGGTATTTTTCTTTTTCTTTCTGGCTTATTTCGCTGAGCATGATCCCTTCCAGTGCCATCCATGTTGCTGCAAATTGCATGTGTTTATCTTTTGAATGCTGAGTAATATTCCATGGTGTATATGTACCACATCTTCTTGATCCAGTCATCTATTTTTGGGCATTTGGGTTGTTTCCAAAGCTTAGCTATTGTAAACAGTGCTGCTATAAACATAGGGGTGCAGGTGCTCTTTGGAATTGATGTTTCTGTGTCCTTTGGGTAAATACCTAGGAGTGGAATTGCTGGATCATTTGGAAGCTCTATGTTTAGTAGGTCAAGAAATCTCCACACAGCTCTCCATAGTGGTTGGACCAGTTTGCACTCCCACCAACAGTGCAGGAGAGTTCCTTTTTCTCCACATCCTCGCCAACATTTGTTGTTGCTAGTTTTTTTAATATGTGCCATTCTCACTGGTGTAAGATGGTATCTCATGGCAGTTTTTTTATTTTTTTTTTATATTTTTTTTTTTTATAACTTTTTATTATTTATTTATTTATTTATACAAGCATTGGGTACAGTCAGAAGCGCAGGAGGGTGAGAGAATTCACCAGAGCCAGAGCGGGGAGCACAGCAGGCAGAAGGCCCGAAGTACACTGCTGAGGGGAGCAGCGGGCCGCAGGAGAGGTCTGCGCGCCATGTGGGACCCTCCTCCGGGGGCCGGGGAGCAGCCGGGGATCGAACTGGCGCTGCAGAGGCTGCGGGCAGCTTCGCAACCCAGCGCTCAACCGCTGCGCCACCGGGGAGGCCCTCATGGTAGTTTTGATTTGCATTTCCCTGATTCCAAGTGATGTTGAACATTTTTTCATTTGCCTTTTGGCCATTTGCATTTCCTCTTCAGAGAAGTTTCTTTTTAGCTCTTCTGCCCATTTTTTGACAGGATTATTTTCTTTGTTTGTGTTGATTCTCATCAGCTCTTTGCAGATTTTTGTGATCAGTCCTTTATCATTAGCGTTGTGTGCAAAAATGTTCTCCCAGTTGGTGGGGTTTCTCTTTGTTTTTGTTATTGTCTCTTTTGCTGTGCAGAAGCTCTTTAATTTGATGTAGTCCCAGCTGTTTATCTTTGCCTTCACTATCACTGCTTTGGGTGATGTGTCTGTAAAGATGTCTTTGATGTGCATATCACTTAGTGTTTTGCCTATATTTCCTTCTATGTATTTTATGGTTTCAGGTCTTATGTCTAGTTCTTTAATCCATTTTGAGTGGATTTTTGTGTATGGTGTGAGGTAGTGGTCAAGCTTCATTCTTTTGCATGTAGCAACCCAGTTTTCCCAGCACCATTTATTGAACAAACTTTCTTTGCTCCAATACATAGTCTTTGCTCCTTTGTCAAAGATTAGTTGACCATAAATCTGTGGGTTTATTTCTGGATTTTCTATTCGATTCCATTGGTCTGTGTGTCTGTTCTTGTTCCAATACCATGCAGTTTTGATGGTTATGGCTTTGTAGTATAGTTTGAAGTCTGGGCGTGTGATGCCTCCATTCCCTTCTTTTTTTTTCAGGAGAGCTTTGGCTATTCTGGGTTTTTGGTGATAAGGAGACAGAACTTTTAAAGTATTTTGTAAAATAATTACTTAATAAATAGCTTAATTAAGGAATGAATTATTAAATCAAAATTTATATATGATCATAGAGAAAACCCAATTAATACTTATTGTTGCCTTTCACTTTAGGTATGGTTTTTTTTGTTGTTGTTTTTTAAAATAGGTTCACTGGGGACTCTGTTTTATGAATCCAGTGATATTCATAATCCCATGAGATAATATTGATGGATTAATAGTGTTCATTGTACCCCATAGGGCACTGATTGCTTTGTAAATTTCAGATCTTTATGCATTGTTTTTTACTGAGTTGCCACAGAGTCAAGTTTCCTACAGGTATAGATGCTTTGAAATGAATAATTATATCTTCTACAGGGATGATAACCATATCCTAATACTGCTTTACTGCTCTTTCCTGGCCACAGTTTTACTCATAAGAATATGCTTAAAAGGCATAAGAAAGAGGAAGGCAATCCACATGAGAACATATGTTTATTAATTCAATCAATAACTTTTATGCCAGATGCTATGTTAGATGTTTATGATGCAAAAGAGGTGAGGAAAGATGGGGGAGTGAGGGGATATTTCAGTTTTTCAGAAGTATTTTAGCTTTGCCTTAATTTTATTAATTCAATATTCTATTGATTTTCTTGAGGGAATTTAGTCCATGGAACATTACTTGTAATCACTTTTCTGATGCTTTCATTAGATTCTGTTTTTCTTTTGAAGGGATCCAAATGCTAAGAGATTAGCTGGGTTGGCCCCTTCTTGGCGCCACATCCCAAAGTCTCACAGCAGTAGTATTCTGGAGGCAGACTCCATGGCATCCAGGAGTAGCTGGATAAAGAGTCAGCCCCTCTCAGGTAAGCAAAAGGACCCCCAATTTGGAGGATTAAATTTGACTGCCAATTCTATTAGGATAACAGTCATACCTGAGCACATTTGAAATTAAAGTACACGTTGAGTATTTCATTAGAAAATATATGTGGAGGCATTTGAGTGCTTCATTTTTGGATTTATGTGTTTTTTTTGTTCATCATCCTATTTGTTTCTACCTTGGAAAGAGCTCTGTGGGAGCAAGAAGGAATAGTGTGAGTAGTGCTTATATTCCTCAGAATAAGTCCTAGGACTCCCCTTGGTACAGAGGCAGAATCGAGAGTTTGGTTGTTTAGTACTATGAATTGAGATAACAAAAGAGGACAAATGTGCAAAACTGGAAAATAAGCAAGTCAAACTTACCTTAGACTTGCCTTTATATCCTGTCCATTAACTCAGTTTTTTCCCCTTTCTTTAATGTCCCTTGTGTTCTCCTACGCCCTCTTTGAAATAAGTTCTCCAGGATTATCTGACTCCTTTACACTAACTGTAGCTGACTAAATATAGTTTCTTTTTTAAAAGATTTATTTATGCATAGAACAACTGGGGTGTAGGCCAGAGGTGTGAGGGGTGAGAGGATTCACCAGAGACAGAGTGAGGAGCAGAACAGTAGTATCTACTGAAATACGCTGCTGAGGGGAGTGGGTGAGACAGGAGAGGTCTGCTGTGTCAGGTATGGGTTAGTTCCCTGGCCAGGATCGAACTCAGACGGCAGTGTTGATACTGCTGAGATTTAACCCCTAGGCAACTAGGGAGACCCTGACTAAATATAGTTTAAAGTATCTTTCTCAAAGAGAAATTAGCATTTTAACAAGTTAAAACCTGTAGATAAAGGAATACTGGGATATCTCTTTCAGGAGTAGTGATTTAAGATAGTCATAAGTTTTAACCCATTTTCACTTTCTGCTCACAACACACATAGGTACTTACAGTGCATATTCTACTTAAGTAGAGACCCAGTTCTAATGGTTCAGAATAAATTCTTTATTTACACAGAGTTAAAAATCCAGGTGATAATTAGGTAGTCTCCCCAACATGGAGACTTTTTTGTGGGAAGGTTGTATGTAAATGGATATCAACCTTCTTTGAAAGATGTGTTTCAGTCTTCCTTTTTTTCTGGTCTCTTAGATCATTTGGGAGTTAGTTATGTGGGTAGAAATCTAACTATGGTATGATTTAATGAGCTTCCGAAGGTATATCTGTGGTATCAGATGCCAGCTTACTAGGGAGAGAAGGACAGAATACTATTTGCCAGACTACAGAGATGATACCAGGATCAGTACTAGTCTGATCACTAATTTCCTTTGATAACCCCTGAAAGTTCTTAGAGGTGGTTGCATTGAAGGTATGGAGCAATAATAAAAAGGCATGAACACTTTTAGGTATGAATGCATAGGTTGCTGACATATGGCAGAATAGAACAAGACTATAGAAGTAGGTATTTCTGAAATCATGGACTGGAGTTCATTCTAGTTAGAAAATCAGGGAAAAAGTCATGCTTCTTAATGAAATTATATGTTTAGTTTGTTTCCCACACTTTATTTCATGTTTACTAACATTGCTTTGAGGAATTTATGATCTTGCATGAGCCTCTTCCCCTCCTCTTTTTTTCAGATAGTAGCTCTTTAGTAAACTAGAGACTGAGTCTCATGATTTCTCTCGTAGCCTTAGTTTTGGACTAGCTGAATAGAATTCACCAAAAGGATTCTTCCACTGGTAAAAGATACTTAGCAAGGAGTTATAACAAATTCCTCATATACCATACCACCACACCATTCTTTTTGTATAGTAAGCCCATGCCCTACAACGTGATGTAATCATTTCACTTTGGCACAAACATTTTTATCAGGTGATTTTGGTTACTTTAAAAACATTATAAAAGTAAAATAAGTCTCCAACAATTCAGTAACCTGCCTTGTGTTTCTTCAAATTGAAGGTACCAATGTTACCGTTATGGTATCTATCTTTCTATATCTTTTTCTATGCTTACACATAGGTAAGTCTATTACCACCACTAAAAAAATAATGAAGTCACACTATACACATGATTCTGTCACTTGTTTTTTTACTTAATATGTCACAGACATCCATTTAGATCTATTTGATTCCAACGATAAAACTTACAAACTTGGATTTTTACTATTGGATATTTTATAAATTTATAGAGATAGTGGTAATTAAGGTTAAGAAACTAACTTGTTTGAAGCATCCTAATAAGTTAGTGTCAGCACAGGGAAAGGAATCTACCTAATTGTTAAGAGCATAGATTATGTATTTAATCTGTTTGGCTTTAATTCAGCTTTACCATTTACTATCTATGTTACCTTGGGCAAGATTCATCCTCTTTGTCACCCAGTTTCTTCATTCCTAAAATGTGGGCAATAATAGTATCTACCTCACAGGTTGTTGTGAAAATTAAGTGCGTTTGTGTGTGTGTGTGTGTGTGTGTGTGTGTGTGTGTGTGTATGCATGCTTAAAACTGTACCTGTCACAATAAATGTTAGTTATGTTATTTTTGTTAAGAAGCATTAAGTAAATATTTATTGTTACTGTTATTATTATTATAGTTCACAGCTCAGGGCTTACTCAAAATTGGATCTGGAAAGCACTAGCCAATACATGAACTTCAAAATGAAGTCAAGGGTTCCAAAGGAAAAGCAAGTGCAGTGGCCATAAATTCGGCAGGTGCTTACTCTTGGTTATGGAAATGTGGTGACTTATCTTCTCCCTTGCCTTGTATTCTAGGTGGGGAGATACCATCCAAAAGCGAACTGGATGAATTGCAGGAAGAAGTGGCCAGGAGGGCCCAGGAACAGGAGCTTCGAAGGAAACGGGAGAAGGAATTAGAGGCAGCTAAAGGGTTTAACCCTCATCCCAGTCGCTTCATGGACTTGGATGAACTGCAGAACCAGGGTAATTGCTGCATTAGATTGTAGGTAGTGGAGACAGAGGGAAGAAAAAAGGATTCAAGCTTGTAAATTCCATCTTCTTTTGTCTTAATTCAGCCTTTCAGTGAGAGCTAGTTCAAGGAGCAAGTGACAAGCCTATGGATTGGAACTAGGTACTAATTTAGGGCCCATCATAAAAGCCTATAGATTAGAGATAGTATATTGTTAATAAGATATGTTTCCCATGAACATCCATAGAAGGTATAAATAAAAGTACTCACAGTTCAGAAATAGCAGAAAAGGGCAGTGAGTTACACTGACAGTGAGGAGAATCCTACTTATTGGGCAGAAACACCCTTGAGATTTCTCCACTTGTAGTTTCAGGGAGATGGATCTACAAAGCTGGTTCTAAGGACAGGCAGCCTTAATTGCCTTGTAATCTTCTGATGATTCATTCCCTAATCTCATACAATTCTTAGGGATTTAAGCTTTCCTAATTGCCCCATGTTAGTTACCATTTTTCTTCAAGTGCTTTAAAATGTTACTTTTACCAGAAGATAAAGCTTTCGAAATAGGAGTTCAAAAATGCTAAGGCTACCTTAAATATGCCCCATACCCTATTATCTCAGCTTTTCTGTCTATAAATGAATTTATTTCTTTTATTAAGAATCCTTAGTTGTAACAAATTGTGCTAGTGCAGTGTGAGGACAAGGAGAGGGTTTTTTGGGTAGCTACTTTTCTGTTGACCACTTCCCTTTTTGTATCAGTACTTAGAAAAACTTCCTCGGCCAGGCACTCTTTAGGGATACTTTTCTCCTCTAATTCTGCTGGGTTTTGATTCAAGACAGTTGCCTTTTATATCCCAAGGCATTGTATTTATTGCCAAATAAGTTATAAATTCCAAATTCCTTATCTGTCTCTGTTTTTGGATAGTCTTTGCTTCCTTTTTGTCTTCAAACTTTATCAGATTGGTGTCTCAGGTTTATATTGCTTCTGAAAGAGGAATCTTGTTATCTCTTGCAATTGCCTTCTCTTCCCCTCTGTAAGTTAGGTATACATTAAAGCTGAGAAGGAATTCCCCTGGTTATATTTTATTGTCATTTTGCCATACATTTTGGTTCAGCATCTCTTGGAAGAGCAAGAATTGGAGTCTTAACATTCTAGAGGGTAAGAATTAAAATCTAATGCAGTGATCAGTCAGCTATAGTTTTACTACATCTCTGTAGAGAACTTTATAAAAAATTACTCTAACCACCACCTCTGTATAAAGGTTGTATAGACAGTTTATGCCAAATATGAGAAAACTTCAGGCCTGGAATGTGGAGGGGACCACATTCTTTAAGGGTGGAGCCTGAATGCTAAGTTCTTCACAACCAAACTGCTATTTTCATTACCTTACTGTTAATCTCCAAAAGCGATGGTGAGTTAGGGAGTGAATGTTAGGATGTAGAAGAGCATTTCTTACCATGTCGAGCTTGGAGGTAAGTAAGTAAAAACACTGTGGGAGAAATGATTCTGATATTTGATTTTTTTCCCCCAGAAATTGTTCTGATATTTGAGCTTGTGAAAGCTCATCATTTATCCCAATAGTAGGTGAACTTTCATTACCACTTGCTACCAATTTACACTTGTGAGTGAGTAAAAGGGAGGATATATATTAGCAAGAGTTCTTTTACAAAAGTTGCATTTATAGAAGTTTCTCACCTTTTTATCTAACACTGTACTTGGACTCGTTTAACATCTGCTTTGGTACACATTCACTTTCAGCGGAGGAAAGGATATGTCATGCACACTGTATGGGAAGATGACTTTTTTGCAATAGGTTTGGTGAGCAGGGGCATGATAGAAGTAAATATGGAGCAGTGCTGATGACAGGTAGGTGCACACAGACCACTTAAAAGAGGCACTTCAACTACCCTAGCCGATATATAGAGGTGTTAGGAATTTTAGACAGTGCCCAAGAGGTTTACTGATTTTTCATTTGAGGGTGGTGCAGAAAAGACTGTGAATTGAATAGGAAATAAGTGTTAAAGATGGCTTTTCACAGAATAGTGAGCCATATCCGCCATAACATTGCAGTGGAGGTCTCAGAGTTCGTGCAGCATTCTGACATTATTTCACAAGATGTATCCTTGTTGCACTGTGGAAGAGCAAATCAGTTCCAGGCTTAAGAACCCACTCTTCTGCTGCTAACAATATATGGTTCTTTCCTTGAGGGACTCCTGAAGAGTTGGAATTTGTGGTAGACCGTGACATACCTCTCTTTCATTGCCTTGGTAAGGGCTTGGTTAAGGCAAATATGAACACCTTACATGTTTTAGGAATTTCATAAAATTAGTGGACGGTAGTAAGGCTGGATGTGCACTGAAAGGAAATAACAGTACATATGAAAAGTCAGAACAAATTGTAATGAAAATGAAAAGTGCTGGCCCTTTCAGGGAGGAGTGACGGCTTTGAGAGGTCCCTCCAAGAGGCAGATTCAGTGTTTGAAGAGTCACTGCATCTGGAACAGAAAGGAGACTGTGCTGCAGCTTTGGCTCTCTGTAATGAAGCTATCTGTAAGTAACTCTAACTGCTATGGCTATTGCACTTTTGACTAACTTCACAATAGGTTTTATTAGTTTAGTCACTCAGATGTGATAAAAACAACTTTTATAAAGTATCTCTTCACTTTCATTATCCAAACTGAGGTCCTTTAACTATCTTTGCAATTGAGATTTCTAAGTGTGCCAGGTATTATCTCTGTGACCTGTGGCTATTTACTGGAACAACCTCAGTAGGTGTTCACAGATGAATTATCCAGCTATGCCTACCATCTTATCCAAAGATAAAGTTAGATCTCAGATGTGAGGTTAGTCTGCTCTTTCTATATTCCCTGAATAGTGAGGTGGAGCTTATGGCAGGAAGAAATGAATATATTGACTTGTGACTTCCCAGACTGTTACTTTATACTGCATATTTGATTCTTATTTTTCCCCTGCCTTCCTGGTATGTAGCACCAGAAGTTTGCAGCAAGGGACTAAGTCTTAGGCTGCATCTAATTCTTAAATGTGACCCCCAAGAAATTGTGTTTTATAAAGACAGATGCAGGTTTGGATCTTATTTCTGCTCTTGGCTGTTGGGAAGAGGGAGTTGGGAGCAGAGTGTGGAGACCAGAGTTGTCAGGTCAGTTGCAAAGGACCACAAGAATGGTAACCCATAAGATGAAAGTATTAGTTTATCTTCCTGACTTATTTTAGCTTAGCTTTTTGTTTGTTTGTTTGTTTAAATTTGAATTAACCTGTTTGGCTTCCATGAATGTTCCTTATATATATCCAGAACCAGCTCTGTGTCCTGGAGTATATGCATGGTCCCATGCCTTGCATTCCTGCTGCATATTTTGAGTTTTACTGCCGATCTTTGCTTATTTTTGGTTCAATTTTATTTTTATTTTTGTTTGTATTTTGTGTTCTGTTTCTGCTATATTTTCTTTTGCATTTTAGCTAAACTAAGACTTGCCCTGCATGGTGCCAGCTCTAGCACGCACAGCAGAGCCCTAGTCGATAAGAAGTTGCAAATCAGTATTCGAAAAGCACGGAGCCTGCAGGATCGCATGCAGCAGCAGCAATCATCACAGCAATCGTCGCAGCCCTCAACTTGCCTCCCCTCACAGGGGGGAGCCCTTCCTCACCCAACAAGGTAGTGCCTGGGAACCACTGTAGTTTATGGTGGAAGTGACCAAGGGAGGAAGTGACCATGGGAGCTCCACAGCCAGAGCTCTCTTTGCTGGCTACAGGGGAGAGAGAAGAGTCCCCTGAAAGATTTTCTTCTCTCAGGTCAGACATTTAGTGAAAAACTCATTGCACTATTTGTCCTTTTTTTTTTTTTTTAATAGTTCCTAGTAAAATGTAGAAATTAAAGCATAATAAATAGACCACTTTCTTTTGAGTTTGTCCCTGGACTTATGTAATAACACCATTATTACTTTTGTATGTATTATGTTTTTAGACATGGCAATCTGAACTACATTTTATGTTACAGTAGAGGCCATTGATTTATTTTGGGATTTCAGTGCTTTCTGTCTCTCACGAATACAGAGAAAGCAGTCTTTCTTGCTCTGATTGAACTATAGAGAAGAGACACAAAGATGTCCTTTGTTTTGTTTTCTAACAGTTAGGACCAGGAAAAGTCCCTAAGGCCACTAGCCCTTGAATTTGACTGTTACTTAGAATAGATGGATTTAAATAAAAATTAATTTTTACTGTTAGTAAACCTGACTAGTTTTCAGAGTTTAATTGTTATATGAGCAGTTAGCATTTTTTTTTAACATTTGCCTATGCCTCACAATAACCTTATGAAATAAGGACTATTTATCATTTGTAAGTAAGGAAACTTGGCTCAGAGATGATAACTATGTTATCATATAGGTAACTCAGGTAGTAAGTAACAGAAGCGTAGGTTTTAAATCCAGGACTATTTGACTCCATTAGGTTCCTCATAGGAGTATAATATGGTACTCAATAACAAAATGTTCTAAGTGTGACTGGGTGACTCCTTCCCACAAAAGTTTATTATTATGAATATATTATTTATAATATATTCATATATTCATTATATGTTATGATGGATATATTATTATTTATTATTATGAATATATTATTCAAATTTAATGCTCATAGTTAGGATCCTCCTTTTTCTTCTTTTTCCCTGTTGTATAGTCCACTGGTTGAATGCTTATCCAAAAATCTGATCAGAGATGTGTTTTAAATACATGTTATCTAGGTAGTTAAATTCAAGAAAACTTATGCCATTTGATATACCTGAGTGATTGAGGTTTTATTTAATGCTCCTAACACTGAGTTTTTTAGGTCAAAATAGTGAGACACCACCTAAATGCTGGTAATCCCTTTTCTTTACTCCCAAATCTCAAAAGACATCTCAGTAATAACATAAATTATGCAGATTATGAAATGAATAAGTGCAATAGTGGAGTTCTTTGTAGTCCCATGAGCTCAAATCACCTTGTATTCTGTGAATGTGGTCTTTTGATTCTTTTGGCTTGGCTACCTCTCAAGATCCTGAATAGGATTTCCCTCCCTATATATTGAATGCTGGATTTAATATGAGTGGACTAGGTTTTGCTTACTTTCCATGTCATCTGCATGTGGAACTAGCAATTTTTTTTTAATTTGCAAGTAGAATATAATTGGAATAGGATTTCATGGGTAGTGAAGAAAGTAGTCAAGGGCTTCATTTATTACTGTGTGACTTTGGTGAGGGCATTTAAAAAGAGGATTGCTATTATTGGGTATTAGCTGACCATGTGTCTTCTTTCTTGTGAATCTTTTTTTTTTTTTAAAGATTTATTTATTTATTTTTACAAGCACTGGGTACAGTCAGAAGTGTGGGAGGGTGAGAGAATTCACCAGAGCGGAGAGCAGAGCAGGCAGACTTACGAAGTACACTGCTGAGGGGAGCAGCGGGTGGCAGGAGAGGTCTGCGCGCCATGTGGGACCCTTGCCCGGTGGCCAGGGATTGAACCGGCCCTGCAGAGACTGTGGGCAGCTTTGCAACCCAGGACTCAACCGCTGTGCCACCGGGGAGGCCCTCTTGTGAATCTTTTTTTTTTTTTTTTTTTTTTTATATATAGAGGCATGTTTTCTTCTTTCTTTCTTATTTGTTGTTTGTTTATACATGCACTGGGTACAGTCAGAAGCGCGGGAGGGTGAGAGAATTCACCAGAGCCAGAGCGGGGAGCAGAGCAGGCAGAAGGACCGAAGTACACTGCTGAGGGAGCAGCGGGCGGCAGGAGAGGTCTGCGCGCCATGTGGGACTCCTCCGGTTCGAACCGGCGCCGCAGAGGCCGCGGCAGCTTTGCAACCCAGCGCTCAACCGCTGCGCCACCGGGGAGGCCCTCTTGTGAATCTTTTAACTTTTGACTCTACTTGTACTTGTCTTTCCATTTATTTTCACCATTTCCTCTGTGGAGTGCTAGAAATGGAAACCAAATGAATAGTTCCTTTTGTAAATATTCTAATTAGTCAAGGCACCTTATAACTGGCTCTCTTCATTTGTTTTAGTGAACAACCTATCCCGCTCCAAGTTTTGTTAAGCCGGGATGCCCAACTGGAACCCTGCACGAATACAGAGTTTGGAGCAAGTTCTTTCATCCACTTACCTGCTTCCTGTCATGAGTCGCAGTCATCACTATACTCAGAGTCATCTGCCCTGTCTGTCCCGCAGCACAATTCCCCCAGTAGGTCTTCCTCAAACCTGCTGACTTCAGTTGAGGTAGACAACATTGACACCTCTGAGTTCCACAGGCAGGGCTTACCTAAAACACCAGGGAGAATGGAGAAGAATTGTCATCATGGTTGGGAACCCTTGGAAGGTATGGTTCAAGGATATAGAGGTGACAGCAGCTGCTGCAGCAGGTTCCCCACTCAAGAAGAAAAAGGCGTTGCTCAGAAACAGCTATTCCAAGAAAAGAGGGAATCGGTGGATTCATATCAGGTGATGTCTTGGTCACACCTAACTGGAACAGTCACCTTTGAGAAAGGAGATGTACAAAGCCTGACCTGTAGTCCTTCAAGTTCATCAGCTCAGTCCAGCTCTCCTCTGTACAGGGCCTGCCACCCTATAATGCCTGCTGCTTCCTTATCTGTGTTGCACTCTCCTGATACTGTGCAGAAAACTAACCAGTTTCTCCAAGCCAAAAGTCTCAAAACTTCATTGACTTCAAAAGAGAATGGAGGCAGTAAGGAGCCCTATAGACCAGAGTTTCCCAAAACAAAGGGGCTTGTCCGCTCTCTGACTGAGCAGTTCCAGAGGATGCAAAGTGTATCCACAAGAGATGGTACAGGTTCCCAGGATAGAAGTTTGCCAAATACTCTGAGGAAGAACCTTTCTGATTGTAAGCCTCCTTTCCCACAGGATGAAGGAAAAGGCCATTGGCCTTGGGCAAAACAGCAACCCTCTCTGGATAGTAGGGACAGATTGCCTTCCTGGGAAGAACCTACTGATCATTCTTCTCTTGCTATGAACTCTGGTCTTCTTAATGGTGAAACTTCTAGGGAAGAACAACCCAGGTTGACAGAGCCAGGTATGTACCAAGGGAAGCTGTCCCAAGTGAGAGATGCTAGGCCTAAGGAACTGGGCAGCTGTGTCAACCTTGGAACTTCCTTGCCCTTGGATTCCTGGGTGAATGTCACAAGACTCTGTGATTCTCAACTTAAACATGGGGTCCCTGGGCCAGGAATGAAGTCCTCCTCCCATGATTCCCATACTTGTGTAAACTATCCAGAAAGAAACCACATCCTTTTGCATCCACACTGGAACCAAGACACAGAACAGGAGACCTCAGAACTGGAATCTCTCTACCAGACCAGTCTTCAGGCTTCTCAAGCTGGCTGTTCTGGATGGGGGCAGCAGGATGTGGTCTGGTATCCACCTTGCCAAACAGGTAAGAATGCAACCAGTAGCAGGGGAAATGGGAACATATAAAAGCTGAAAGCAAGAGGACATGGTCAGAGGGGAGTAATTTTCTGTCCAGATAATATCCCCAGCAAAGAGGTGGTAGTAGAACTTTTGACTTTATTCACAAAGACTTTGGGACAAGGGCTAAACTTTTTTCTGGCTAGAGTGAAGAATGGGACAAAATTATTCAGTCTTGTTCCTTTCTTTTAAAGTAAGTACCAATGAGTTTATACCTGGGATTTCTGCAGCACACATTACTAAGGAATGGTTCATAGGTCTTTGAGAGTGACTCAGAATGAGGTGGGGAGACTGATAGAAGTCACTTTCTATGGCTCAGGAGCTGAACTAATCCCAACATCCAGCCTCCAGATCAAACTTACAATGAGGATATTCACATTGAGCCAGTCTCCAATGTGGCATTTCCAAATTATCTTAACAGCAATATCAAGGCCTTCATGGGAACTGCCAGATTTAGAATTTTTCAAGGTGGTATCCTGTACATAGGGTACTTGTTCACTGATTTGCTTTGAGTGTGTGAAGAATGAATTCATTTAGCTTCCTGACTAATAGAAGGGAAAAGAATAAACAAGTGTTTCAAAGAGTAGTAATAGAAACAAATAATATATTATAACTAAAATTTGAGCTAATTGAATGTCAGACATATTACCAAAAAACCCTCTTGACAAGAGAATTCTTATGTTGCCTAAAAACAATATAATATCAGGGCCTCCCCGGTGGTGCAGTGGTTGAGCGCTGGGTTGAAAAGCTGCCCGCAGCCTCTGCAGCGCCGGTTCGATCCCCGGCTGCTCCCCGGCCACCAGAGGAGGGTCCCACATGGCGCGCAGACCTCTCCTGGCACCCGCTGCTCCCCTCAGCAGTGTACTTCCGTCCTTCTGCCTGCTCTGCTCCCTGCTCTGGCTCTGGTGAATTCTCTCACCCTCCCGCGCTTCTGACTGTACCCAGTGCTTGTATAAATAAATCTTTTGGGGAAAATAAATAAATAAATCTTTAAAAAAAAAAAGATATAATATCAAGTCACAAAAATCATTGTTAATCCTATTCTTAATAATAATTTCATGAATTTACTTCAGGCTTTGTCTTTTGCTTCTGTACTATATATTTAGTTTTATTTTTAGAAAAATCAGAATTGGGGGCCTCCCTGGTGATACAGGGGTTAAAGAAACAGTGCTATCAAGCTATCTGCATCCTCTGCAGCACAAGTTCCATCCCCGACCAGCCAGGGAGCTAACTCACATGGCGCAGCAGACCTCTCCTGTCTCACCTGCTGCTCCCCTCAGCAGTATATTTCAGTAGATCTGCCTGTTCTGTTCCCCACTCTTTCTCTGGTGAATCCTCGCACACACAACGCCCCCACACCTCTGGCCTGTACCCCAGTTCTTGTATGCATAAATAAATAAATATTAAAAAAAGGTACAATAACCAGTATTCAGATTTTTTCAATTGTCTCATCAATGCCTTTTCATAATTGGTTTATTTCAAGTCAGGATCCAGATACAATGCACACATTGCATTTAGTTGATTGGTGTCAAGGCTTTTCATTTTTTAGCCTGTAAAATTTCTCCTTTCCCCTTGTCATTTACTTGTTGGAGAAATTTGGTCACTTTTTGCCAGTGTTCAAGATTTTGCTGATTGTATTCCAGTGGAGTTTTTTCTATTTTTAAACATGTTCTTCTAGCTCTTATTTATCCTATAATAACTTGTTACTAAGGGCTAAAGATTTGTTTAAAATCGGGTTCACTTTTTCTTTTTTTTAAAAAAAAAAGATTTATTTATTTATACATAGAAGAACTGGGGTATAGGCCAGAGATGCGGTGGGTGGGGGACGGTGAGTGGATTCACCAGAGACAGAGTGGGGAGCAGAACAGGCAGATTGAAATACACTGCTGAGGGGAGCAGCGGGTGAGACAGGAGAGGTCTGCTGCACAATGTGGGTCACTTCCCTGGCCAGGGTTCAAACTCATGCTGCAAGTAGCTGTAGATTGCTTCATAATGCTTACATTTAATCCCTTGTGCTACCAGGGAGACCCCAGGTTCACTTTTTCTTAAGAGGAGTAGTTCATAAGTATTACCTTTTACTTCTTGCACCAAGAAGTATATAATGTCTAGTAGTCTTTTTTATTGTTATTATTAATCAGTGAGTTGAGTTTATTTTAGTTTTATCTTGTATTAAATGTGGAAATCCTCTCGACACTACTCCTTACAAGATGGTCACCTCCATTTCTGCTAAATTGTCTTTATTTTTTTTTCTAGTTTTATTGAATAATACTTGGCATAATCACTATAAATTTTGCATAATGGCATATAGCATGGTGACTTGATTTACACATATTGTGAAATGATTACCACAATATAGACTCTGCTGACTTAAAATACCAAGTAGGAAGTCACTGAAAGCCGATTAAATTGCATCGTTACCAGCCAATGAAACACATTCAAATAAAGCTGATTTATTTATTTTTTTTTATATAATAAATTTTATTTTTATATTCCCCATACAATTGCAACCCCCCCATTCTGACCCCAATCCCTCCCCTCCCCCCCCCACCCCCAAAAGTGTCTCTGGTTCATAGTTTTTTGTTGATTTTGATTTTCACTTTCTTATAGTTATTCATTTTCCTGGTCCCTTATTTAAGTTTTCTAGATTCCTGCTATGAGTGAGACCATCCGGTATTTTTCTTTTTCTTTTTGGCTTATTTCACTGAGCATGATCCTTTCCAGTGCCATCCATGTTGCTGCAAATTGCATGTGTTTATCTTTTTTGAACGCTGAGTAATATTCCATGGTATATATGATCCAGTCATCTATTTTTGGGCATTTGGGCTGTTTCCAAAGCTTAGCTATTGTAAACAGTGCTGCTATAAACATAGGTGTGCAGGTGCTCTTTGGAATTGATGTTTCTGTGTCCTTTGGGTAAATACCTAGGAGTGGAATTGCTGGATCATTTGGAAGCTCTATGTTTAGTAGGTCAAGAAATCTCCACACAGCTCTCCATAGTGGTTGGACCAGTTTGCATTCCCACCAACAGTGCAGGAGAGTTCCTTTTTCTCCACAACCTCGCCAACATTTGTTGTTGCTAGTTTTTTTAATATGTGCCATTCTCACTGGTGTAAGATGGTATCTCATGGTAGTTTTGATTTGCATTTCCCTGATTCCAAGTGATGTTGAACATTTTTTCATATGCCTGTTGGCCAATTGCATTTCCTCTTCAGAGAAGTTTCTTTTTAGCTCTTCTGCCCATTTTTTGACTGGGTTATTTTCTTTGTTGTTGTTGGGTCTCATCAGCTCTTTGCAGATTTTTGTGATCAGTCCTTTATCATTAGTGTTAGGTGCAAAAATGTTCTCCCAGTCAGTGGGGTTTCTCTTTGTTTTTGTTATTGTCTCTTTTGCTGTGCAGAAGCTCTTTAATTTGATGTAGTCCCAGCTGTTTATCTTTGCCTTCACTATCACTGCTTTGGGTGATGTGTCTGTAAAGATGTCTTTGATGTGCAAATCACATAGTGTTTCGCCTATATTTCCTTCTATATATTTTATGGTTTCAGGTCTTATGTCTAGTTCTTTAATCCATTTTGAGTTGATTTTTGTGTATGGTGTGAGGTAGTGGTCAAGCTTCATTCTTTTGCATGTAGCAACCCAATTTTCCCAGCACCATTTATTGAACAAACTTTCTTTGCTCCAATGCATAGTCTTTGCTCCTTTGTCAAAGATTAGTTGACCATAAATCTGTGGGTTTATTTCTGGATTTTCTATTCGATTCCATTGGTCTGTGTGTCTGTTCTTGTTCCAATACCATGCAGTTTTGATGGTTATGGCTTTGTAGTATAGTTTGAAGTCTGGGCGTGTGATGCCTCCATTCCCTTCTTTCTTTTTCAGGAGAGCTTTGGCAATTCAGGGTTTTTTGTGATTCCATATGAATTTCATCAATAATTGTTCTATTTCTTTGAAGAATGACATTGAAATTTTGATTGGAATAGCATTGAATCTGTATATTGCTTTTGGTAGGATGGCCATTTTAATAATGTTTATTCTTCCAATCCATGAGCAGGGGATGTCTTTCCATTTCTTTGTGTCTTCTTCTATTTCTTTTAACAGTGTTTTATAGTTTTCTTTGTATAGGTCCTTTACCTCTTTTGTTAGATTTATTCCCAAATATTTGATTTTTTTTGTTTCAATAATAAAAGGGATGGTTTTTTTATTTCTTCTTCTTCAGATTTATTGTTTGTGTATAGGAAGGCTACTGACTTTTGTGTGTTGATTTTGTATCCTGCCACTTTACTGAACTGATTGATGGGTTGAATTAGTTTTTCTGTGGAGTTTTTGGGGTTCTCTATGTATATTATCATATCATCTGCAAATAGTGATAGTTTGACTTCTTCTTTTCCTATTTGGATTCCCTGGATGTCTTTCTCTTGTCTTATTGCTCTGGCTAGGACTTCCAGTATTATATTGAAAAGCAGTGGTGAGAGTGGGCATCCTTGTGTTGTTCCAGATCTTAATGGAATTGCTTTCAGCTTTTCACCATTGAGAATGATACTGGCTGTTGGCTTCTCATAGATGGCCTTTATGATGTTGAGGTATGTTCCTTGTATCCCAAGAATTTCAAGGGCTTTTATCATGAATGTGTGTTGCACTTTGTCGAAAGCTTTCTCAGCATCTATTGATATTATCATATGGTTTTTATATTTCTTTTTGTTGATATGTTGGATGACGTTGATTGATTTTCGGATGTTAAACCATCCTTGTGTCCCTGGAATGAATCCTATTTGGTTGTGGTGAATTATCTTATGGATACATTGTTGGATTCTGATAGCTAAAATTTTGTTGAGGATTTTTGCATCAGTGTTTATTAGGGAGATTGGCCTGTAGTTTTCCTTTTTTGTGTTGTCCTTATTCGGTTTTGGTATTAGTGTAATGTTGGCTTCATAGAACGTGTTTGGTATTGTCTCTTCCTTCTCAATTTTTTGGAAGAGTTTGTGAAGGATAGGCACCAATTCATCTCTGAATGTTTGGTAGAATTCGTTTGTAAATCCATCATGTCCTGGGCTTTTGTTTTTGGGGAGGTTTTTGATTACCATTTCAATTTCGCTGCTTGTAATTGGTCTGTTTAGGTGTTCTATTTCTTCTTTATCTAGCTTTGGGTGATTGTAGAGTTGTAGGAATTTGTCCATCTCCTCTAGATTGTTGAACTTGTTTCCATACAACTCTTCATAGTAGTTACTGATTATTCTTTTTATTTCTGCTGTGTCTGTTGTGATTTCTCCTCTTTCATTTCTGATCCTGTTTATTTGTGCTTTCTCCCTTTTTTCCTTTGTGAGCCTGGGTAGGGGTTTGTCTATTTTATTGATTTTTTTCCAAGAACCAAGCTGATTATTTTTAACTCATGATACCATTAATTTTGGTTTTGCAATGATTATCTGAGTTCTGGGAATGAGGACTGGCAAACTTTTGAAGTTTGGCAATAAGGATAAAAAGGCAAATATATGCCAGGTGTTGTTCTGAGAAGCTAAAACAACAGTGCCCATATTATTTTACAAAAGGTTCATGTAAGTAAAAGTATGTGTTTATGCTTAACTGTCTTTAAAACAATCAGCGTCTACTCCCTTAAAAGGTTCTAGTTGCCACCTCCCTATCTAGAAATCATATTTGACTTGATAAGAAATGCTCCAAATTTTAACCATATCAGCTGTAATTCTTAAATCTGGCTGCCCATCCTAGTTAACTGGGGAGTGACTTTAAAAAGAAAAAGAACAGAGCTAGACCAAAGGCTTCATGACATTAAATTTAGCAGTCATCTTGGATTAAAAAAATGGATAAATTTTATAAACATTATTTTATATAAATGGAACCATAGCATGCATGATGTTTTTATTATAGACCATTTTACTGCCTACCTTTCCTACCATCATGTCAGTCCCTATCTTTTATCCTCTACCTTCCAGGTAATAATCTATTTGCATACTTCTGTGTTTTTCTGTTCATATATCTTATATAGACCCACATATACTTTTTTTTTTTTAAAGATTTTTTTATTTATACAAGAACCGGGGTACAGGCCAGATATGCGGGAGGGTGAGAGGATTTATCAGAGCCAGAGTGGGGAACAGAACAGTCAGACTGACAAAATACACTGCTGAGGGGAGCAGCGGGCGTGGCAGGAGAGGTCTGCACATCATGTGGGACCCTTGCCGGTGGCCAGGGATCAAACGGGCGCTGCAGAGGCTGCTGGCAGCTTCGCAGCCCAGCGCTCAACCGCAGCACCACCAGGGGAGGGCCCTAAACTGGTATTTTTTTGCATCTTATTCCCAAAAGTAGAATTATTGGGTAAAGGGTATAAATATGTCTTCAATTTTAATTACTATTTCGAGATTCCTTTTTAGGAAGTCTGCAACATTTCACATTTCTTCCAACAATGTTTGATGATATTTTCCTACTTTGGGGGGCGGGAAGCTTTTAAAAGATAAATATTTCTAGGCTCTAACCACAAAAATTCTGATTCAGTAGGTCTGGGGAGAAGTACAGAAAAATATGTGTTGTTAAAAGCTCCTAGGATGAATTTTAGGTGGTATTGAAACCACTTGCATTTAAACACCAGGAAATATTAAAAATAACTAGTCTTCTAGTTTACTATCAGCAATATCATGCTTTAGCCAGGTACATGTTTTAGAATCAAAATATCAAATCTAATCAAGACATATGAAATGTAGGTCAAGGGCATATACATTTTCGGTATGGAACACTTAATTAGTTGTATTGGGGCGAGCCCCTTGGGAGTCACATACCTAGTTTGGAGCAGTTTCTTCTTAATAGTATAGCAAAATTTTAATGAAGAAGTATGTATTTAGCAGTTGTTTAGAATTTAAGTAATTGAGAGAAGCTAATGGGATAAATAAAAGTGTTAAAATATATATATATTTAAAGATATATTTATGCATACAAGAACTAGGGTACAGGCCAGAGGTGTGGGGGGTGAGAGGATTCACCAGAGACAGAACGAGGAGCAGAACAGGCAGACTGATGAAATACACTGCTGAGGGGAGCAGTGGGCGAGACAGGAGAGGTCTGCTGCACCATGTGGGTCACCTCCCTGGCCGGGGATTGAACTGTTGCTGCAGTTGCTGTGGATTGCTTCATAATGCTGATGCTTAACCACTTGCACCACCAGGGAGGCCCTGAAAGTGTTAAAATGTTGCTAAAGAGCGCTTGCTCATAGTAATAAGTCATCATAGGAGATGATAAAGAGTATTATGGTGAAAATTGAGAAATGTGAATTTTAATAGTGATTATACTACTGTCTACCAGTCATACCCTAGAACTTATGTGTAATGAGATTTGGTAAAATGAAGAGGTTTGAGGGTGTCCCTGCTGGCCTAGGGGCTCGGTCTTAGGGCTCTCACCCCTGTGGCCTGAGTTTGATCCCCAACCGGGTAGCTAACCCACGTGGCATAACAGACCTCTCCTGTCTTTCCTGCTGCGCCCCTTAGCAGTGTATTTCAGTAGTAGATCTGCCTGCTTTGCTCCCCTTTCTATCTCTGGTGAATCCTCTCATCCCTTCTCCCCCCAACACCTATGGCTTACACCCAAGTACTTCTATGCGAAAAAAAAAAAAGAGTTTTGACAGGTGATTATTCTCATTTTAGTGCTGAACTAGACTAAAGATAATAGTTCATTTTTGTCATCACAGATGCTCTAAAGAATCACTGTGCTGGCTAGTTTCCTCTTTTTTTTTTTTTTAAAGATTTATTTCTTTTTTCTTTTTTTTTCTTGTTTTCTTTCTCTCTTTTTTTTAAAGATTTATTTATTTGTGCACACAAGAGCTGGGTTACAGGCCAGAGATGTGGGGGTGGGGGGGGAGGGTGAAAAGATCCACCAGAGACAGAATGGGGAACAGAATATGCAGATTGACTGAAACACACTGCTGAGGGGAGCAGTGGGCAAGACAGGAGAGGTCTGCCTTGCAATGTGGGTTTCTCCCTGGCCAGTCGGGGATCAAACTCATGCTGTAGAGACTATGGATTGCTTCATAGTGTGGTGCTTAACCCCTTGCACCACCAGGGAGGCCCTAGTTTGCTCTTTATATGAGTCTTGGGCTCACGTCTGATGGCAGCAAAGTTAATTGTGTTTACAAAAATGAAATGAGGCAAGATGAGGACTTTCAATTATCTGTCCACAGAGCTCCTTCTCTATAAGGTTCTTTAAGGTCTGACTTCTGAGACCTTTTTGGCCTATGGGGAACTATTAATATTCTGACACTCCTGTTTCTATATTATAAGAGTACACTGTCCCTAGGATTCAGGAATGCATATTTGTTATTTAATGAAATAAATATTAATTATTAATGAAGTTCTTACCTCTGAGTTTTGTGCTGACAGTTTAGACCCTCAGAGAGGAGATGGCTTCAATTTGTATTTATGTTTTCCTCCTCAGGCTCTGCAGATGGCATGGGGAGGAGATTGCACTCAGCCCCTGGCCTTGGTCTCTCAAAGACTCCAACAGCAGAAATGGAGCACAGTCTCCATGAAGCAAGCACAGTGCCTGCTTCTCAGGTAGCAAACTCAGGTGCTAAAGTGCTTGTGTGGGGTGGTGTGTTGGGGAAGGAAATATGGGGACCTATGAATGGGAAGGTTGGTGGTCAGACAGGGGATGGTAATGTGGGCTATTAGTAGAGAACATGATCTATATTGGATTTCTTTTGAGTGAGAGATTCAGAATGACTACTACTTTTTAATATACAGCTAATTCAAGTCTCTACTATTGAGTCTTACTCTATTTTCTCTTATATTTCTGGGGACTGAGTCTGGGGGGAAAGTACAGGTCTGGCATTCTATCAATTTACCTGTATTTGTCTGTGCATTTAAAGGCCATACCTTGCTGTGGTCTCAGCAGGGAATATGGGAAGGATGATCAATGTGGTGCTGAAAACTTTGACCCCATCTCACAGTTTTAGGAGCACCATTGTTACATAGTGGGTGGTAGCTTCAGTCTCTTCCCATATTTTTCTAAGGAGAATCACGTTCTATATATTCAGAATACACTTTTTTCTCTTGCTAGATAAAAATATAGTGCAGTTAAAGGGGTAGCAGAAACTGAAATTATCTTTTGGGGGAAATCCACATGCACTCAGCCAAAATGAGGACACATAGTCATTATTTTATTGATACATTTAGTTGGAGCCCAGAGGAAAGTCCCTTTCCTTCAGTGGTTCTGGAAAATGTGTTATAAAGTTTCTTAGGGTGAGAAGAGTTCTAGAAGTCCTGGAAGATTCTCGGAGAAGCAAAGGGTGCTGACTTGGTCAGACCCGTTGCACTAATCAAAGGATTGAGTGGATCAAGAAGATGTAGCATGTATACACAATGTAATATTATTCAGCAATCAAAAAGATAAACTCATGCCATTTGCAGCAACGTGGATGGAGCTAGAAGGAATTATGCTCAGTGAAATAAGCCAGAAGGAAAAAGAAAGATATAGGATGGTTTCACTTATAGCAGGAATATAGGGGAACCAAATAAGGCATCAGCGTAAAAAAATAATAACAGTACAAAACACAACAAAGCAAAACCAGACAATTATAAATCAGAGCCATACTGCAAGGGAGGAGGAGGGAGAGGGATCAGAGGGAGGGAGGGAGGAGCGCAGGGGACGGAGGTGATGGTGCATGGGTGCATTGGTGAAGGAAACTCTGGGGACTACACCTGAGGAAGTGGGGGTAAGCAAATATTGTTTAAAAATGAGCAATGATGTAAAAAATTAAAAAAATTAATATAAAAAAATTAAACATACCCTTACCATATGGTGAAAAAAACAAAGTATTGAATATTGTTTTGTCTTTTACTTCCCACCCCTGTATGTGATTGAGTGGGGTCCAGTTGTGCTTTCAAGCTTTCTTACTAGTGAAGCTTGTAACATTAGCAGGAACAGGAAAATGATTTAAACTCTTCCTCTGTAAGGCTTTTCATATGGAATTAATATAGTAATCTATAGGTAAAGGGACAGGGACATCCTAGTCAGCAGAGATCAATAAATTCTCTAGCTGGGTTTGTGGTTGATAGTATGTTTTAAGAGTTTCACGCATACTTAAGTTTTCATTAAATAGAGGTTAGGATGCAAAACACCAGTACAATTAAGCTTGTTTAGCAGGGCAGTTGAATAAAAGTTTTTAAACTGGTTTGAAATATGTGGTACCAAAAAAAAAAAAAGTCCACTCACAAAAAAACATACAGTGACCACCAAGTCTTTGTTCTGTCAGTCCTTTAGATCTAGTTACCCTTCTAGAAGAGTGTCATTTTTCTAATTTACTGTTTTTAAGTAACTAAGTTATTCTGAACAAGGTCATTCTTTTTGGAAAAGGTAGTTTTTCTGCTCAGCATTTGTTTTCATATACCTTCAAGGCCTTTAATGGCAAATTGTTATTTTCTGAGGAGAGTTGGCTTTTTTGTTATTAATTCATGAATGATTTATTGGTTTATTAATCTGCATATTATTCTAGGTACTGGGAATACAGTGGTGAATGAACTAGAATATAGTCCCTGCTCCCATAGACTTTGTGTTTTAGTGGAGAGACAGAAATAAACAAACAATGTTAATGTAATATGATAGTTTTAATGCTATGGGAGCATAATAGGAAGGACTTTAAACCAGACTTGAGGGATCAGGGAAGGGTTCTTGAAGAAAGCTAAAAGAACATTGAAGGTAGAAGGGACCTTTGACAAATTTTAACTGAATTTTAAAAAGCACATTTGATATGGCTGAATTAATAATATAAAGTAGAGTCTTTTCATGAACCACAGTAATGTATTTGGTAGGATGGAGAGGAGTTGATATATTAGAGAGCCAATTAGAAAGTGAAAACCAATGAGACTTAGTGTCTGTCTGCCTGGATATGGGGAGAAGATAAGACGATAATCAGGATGCTGACAGAAAATTATGGTTTGCTATGGTATATTTGAGGAAAAATTGTGTGCAATTTTAATTTTAGACATATTAAGCTTAGGATATCTGGTAGGCCTTTGAATATGAGACATATGATCTTGAAATTGAGATTTGATAATCATAGCCATTGAAAAGTAGAAAAAAGAATTGTATAAAGGGAAGTGTTGGCGGGGAGCCAGGACAAAGCCATGGTATGTCAGAATTAAGGGGGTTCTTCTGAAGAATCTTTACTGCAAGACTTAATGAAAGAGCGCAGATAGATAGAAAGGAACTCAGATAAGTATTGTATCACTTTCTTCTATCCAGAAGAAAAGAACAGTTGACTGTGTCAGTGCCTTGAGAATTGGTACTTGATCCTTAGGCTATATAGTAAATGCCAACTATGTGACATGTTATGGTAGGTGCTATGAGCAAACACTGATAAAACAACATAAATCTGCCTTTGAATAACTGAAAAGCTAGTAAAAGAAATAAGAGACACTGGCATATATTTATTATTTACTGTCTGTAATGTTCCAGGTACTATTCAAGGTGTGGAAGATACTGAAAGTGAAAAGAAATGTATTATTCTAGGAGAGAAAAACAGTTAGCAAATGGAGATAATACATAACCCCAGACAATAATAAGAATAAAATAAGCAAGGGAATAAAAAGAGGTAATATTGGTTATTCTTGGCTATTTTTGATACTGAGGAAAATCGGCTCTAAGGAAGTAACATATGATCAGAGATCTCAGTGACATGGAGATGTGGGCCATGGGAAGAAAATTCCAGGCAACAAACTGTAAATGTAAACAACCTGAGGTGGAAAGAGCTTGATGTGTTTGAAAAAGAGAGAGTAAAAGGCATAGGAATGGTAGGATATAAAGTGAGAAGAATTGACAGTGGTATATCACATAGGAACTTGCTGGCCACAGTAAGGAGGTAGTAGACTAGAGATGGGAAGATCACACTTAAGGTTGTAGTGGTTGAGTTTAAATATGGAATCTATAGGTAGCCATGACTGTACTTGGTAAAGACATCTAATGGAATTGTGGAGAAGCGGTACAAACCCAAGGGCTATGTCAACATTTGAGTCTAGGCAATTTAGGAAACTAGTACAAGGAAGGAGGAGTTTGGAGGGATGTTGGTTTGATTTTGAACATATTAGTGTTTCAGTTGTTAAATGGAGTATTTCTGAGACCTTGCCACAAAAGGAAATAACTAATAGGATATAAAACAGGACATATCAGTGGGTAGAAACTTGATGGTCAAAATAAGAGACTGGAATGGAGTGGTAACAGGAAAGAAGATGGAGTAGTGGAGTTCTTGCTTGTACATTTAAGGATATGTATTTTAGTTCCCAATATTTAGAGAGTCTAGAATTCTGTCAACTCTCAAGCTTTTTGAGTATTTCATTTCTTCTCTATCTTAAAATTTCTGTCAGTCTCTCTAATTCTATTATGAGTTTGCTAAAGACAAATGGCAGCATTGAGGAATACAGAGGAATACAGTTTAAGAGAAAAGAATCTGTATTTGGTATCTGCAGTTCAAATTCATCAAGATGTTTCCTGGAGGCTGAAATGAGAACCACTGAGTATTTTGGGTCCCTCTCTAGAATAAGGCATGTTTGTACTCTAATTCCCCTCCACCTCTCCCTGCGTGTCTCACTGTGTTTACCCAACCATATCCTGCTGTGTGTTAATCCTCATCTCTGTGTTTTTTTGTCTTGTCTCATTATAAGGATTCATCAAACACGAGGAAAAAACCTTTGGAAACCGGGCATCGTTGTTCCAGCTCCTCTTCCCTCCCTGTTACCCATGATCCTCCTGTGTTTCTCCTTGGTTCCCAACTCTACCCACCCCAACCACAGTTCCTGTCCCCAGATGTCTTGATGCCCAGCATGGCAGGGGAGCCCCATAGACCCCCAGGTAATTCACCCCAAATGTAATACATGCCAGAATGTGGTGCCTTTCTGTGAACCTAGAAGGATCAAATCAGTACACGTTTTGGGTGCTGGTATCCCCTGGTGGGGTGGCAGAGAGATAATGTACCATTGTGTTGAGATTAAAGCGTTGAAATAGATGAATTGCAGTTGATTCATTTCTTGGGCAGTATGATTCTCAGTCTAAGGCTCTAGTCCAGTGCCCCCAGAATCTAATTCCCATGAGAGTGAACTTTTTCATTCATGATAAGATAGCTTTCAAGTGACCAAGGGGTCTTAATACTCAAGTCTTTAAGATCCCTCCAAACCAGAAAGTGTCACCTATCAGCTGGTTTTCTTTCTTGCTATGGTCTGAATCTTAGCTAAGGTATGGTCTAGGAGGACAAAGAGTAAATGGGAGACTTGGAAAGATCCTTGATGCCTAGCACATGGCATGCACATGGCATATTTAGGCCATGTATACAGACCTTGGTTGGGGGGGCGGTGAGTGTAAGTATTATTTGGCTTTCTTTGACTTTTCACAGCAAGATTGTTCCTTTTCCTTCTAATGGTCTGAATCAACAGCTTAAGGCAGTGATTCTCAAAGGGAACGGGGAAGTGCTACCAGCCTGTAGTAGTTAGAAGCGAGGGTGCTGCTGAACATGCTACCATGCAAAGGGAAGTTACCCCCCCCTTTCCTAAACAAAGAATTATTTACCCAAAATAATAATTGGTTTTAGGATATAAATGTCCCATAAGGGGTGGGGATGAGGGGAAAGACAGTGGTTCTAGGAGAGAAGAAAGAGTAGTAGTATTGATATTTGTGTCCAAATTTTAGGGAGCTTTGGATAAGTAGACTTTCTGGATAGATTGAGTCCTATTATTCAGGGAAGCAGCCACGTTGCTAGTCTCTTTTGACAGTTGTTAGGGATAGCTGAGCTTTTTTATTTCAGCCTCTGCTGCACTAAATGGCTATGGTGAATATGTGGTATGGGAGAGGCAGCCCTCTGTTCTCAAAGAGTTCAGAGTTTAAATAATCAGAATATACATACATGCAAGACTATAGCACAGATGTTGATAAATTATAAAATAAAGAATGTAAAGTATTTCTTAGTAATTTAGTTTTTTTTTTTTATTAAGTAAAGGGGAATTAGTGTATAGAAAAGGGATTCTACATTTTGTATGGTGGAAGAGTATTTTAAACAGAAGCACAGATATCGGAGAATAAGCCAGGGTATAAGTAGAAACAGCAGAAGTGGAGTGATAGTACTGTTTAAGAGCAGTAGCAGAGTTGTCATAATGGGAATTTAGATTTGCAGTATTAGGGAGGCATACGTGTGTTGTGTGTGTGTGTGTGCGCACACGTGCATGTGCGCTTTAGAGAAAGGATTATAATGTAGTGTTTAGAAGTATGGTAATATGTAGGCAAATGCTTCATTTGCCTAGGTTGCAGTTAAGAGACTTGATTTTGAGGTACATTAATTTTTTAAAATGAAATTGAAAGCAAAGCTAGGCTCCTTTACCTTGTTGTAGAGACAAGAACAGCTAAGAATGGTCTCCTGGGAAGGAGAATGATTTACTGAAGATATTCTATCTTTGGGTTTCTTTTCTTTCCTCAGGAACTTCAAGGAGTGTCCAGCAGTTTTTGGCTCTGTGTGACAGGGGTGAAACTTCCCAAGGGGTCAAGTACACAGGAAGGACTTTGAGCTACCGGAGTCTCCCCCATCGTTCCAGAGCAGATGCATCCTGGGGACAATGGTCAGAGACCAACCAGCATATTGGGGCCCGATTCCTGACTACTCCAGGATGCAAGCCTCAACTAACCCACACTGCCACATTATCAGAAAGACACCAGGGCTATCAGGTTCCTCATGCTCAGTCCTTCAGGGAGCTTTTCCAATCACCTTCCCATTCCCCCATTGTTTACCCTGTGTCCCCACCATTAGGTAGTCTTAGTGTACCCCTGAGATCAGGTTGGAATTCAGGTACTATTCCAGGGTCTCAAGCATCAGGTCCTCGAAGAGTAGATATGCCCCCAGATGATGACTGGAGGCAAAGCAGTTATGCCCTACAATCTAGGCAAAGGAGGACACGAGGAGAGGAGTTTCTGTTTGTTATAACAGATGCCCCCAGAAGAGAACAGATCAGGACAAAAGCCCTGCAGCACAGCAGGTGGTAAAGGTCACCCCTTTCCTTTCTTGGAGCCAGTTTTCTCTGTGAAACTGTACTGTAGCAGATTTGGTATCCTTCATCCCTGCCAGGGTTGTGCTAGTTTAATCTCAACATAGTGTTGGCAGTTTCTCCTAGGGGTGCAAAGAACCTCTAATGAGACCTGGCTCTTTGAGAAGGAATATTTGAAATTCCAATTTCCACTTACCTAAAAGGAATTGGCTGCTGTTTAGGGTTTTATTTGAATCACTTTAAAGATAAATCCATATTATTTTGGACATTAGTCATTTTTTAGGATCTTAGGGTCACTGTTTTATTCCTGGATACTTTGTTCCCATGTGAACCTGAACCCTCAACCTCTGCTCCCTATTACATTACCAACTTCTATCCTTTGTTTTATCTACCTATCCTTATTATCTGACCTGACATCCCCAATACCCATCCTAGAGGCATATGTAGTCCTATGGTCATGGTCTTGACTGCATCATTCAGGGCAGCCCACCTGCACAGGCATTATAGACTGTCAGCCTTCCCAGTGCCCCTAAACCTCAGGCCTAAAACACAGAGCTGCCAACATAATATTTGCCCTTCTGAACAGGCATACTAACATACCCTCCTGCTCTCAGCAGCAGAGCCATTACTGCCACTTTCTCGGTCGCTGTTGTAAACCCTGAGTCAGCTGAACTATTTTAGGGCCAAACATACTGTTTTTGTAAAGTATTTTTCATTAATAAATCTATAAGATAGTTCTATTTAATCCCTTTTGTCATTTAATTGTCTGTTTAACACTTTTTGTATATTCTTTTGTATCAGCGTGGGGAGGTCTGGATAAGAAATAACCAATTCCCAGTGGCTTGAGCTTCCAAAGAGAGCTTATGCCTTATGCCTTATGGCATAAGGCACAAACATAACATGTATGTATGTTTGTATGTATGTGTGGCTTTTGACTAAGTGAAGGTGAGGAGCCAAAGAGGAGCTGAAGAATGTATACTCAAGGTGGGAGTCAACGGGCCCTATACAGAAGTTACTTTCCTCTTTATTACCACTGCTGGTATAATTACTACCCCTTTTCTCCAATAATCAATACATTACATGCTCATTCCCTTCTTATGGAGACTGGGATTTAAACTCCTCTTACAAATTCATTCCTGAGCTATGTAGTCTATCAATGTTGCCCTCTGTTTTCAGGTTTGTGACATGCCTCCTATCGCTTCTTTGCTGCCTTCCTACTCTTTCCCTTTGCTTCCCCTGTGAAATTATTTCACCTCCACACCAGAAAGATCCTTTTTCCCCCCTCCACTCCAAATTCTTTTCCCTCTAAAAGATATTTTGTGGGCTTCTTTTGCAAAGAATACTTTTTGGTCATTTCTTTCCTCTTTACCCCTAGGTCTCAGAATTACTGAGATTGGCAAAAAGAAGAGGTCCAAAGATGCACTTTAAGATCTTTGACTACTGTTTACCTAATTTTCACCATCCATTATGACACAGGAAAATAGGCAGAAATTTCTCACCACATGCCACCAGGATCCTATGCCATCAGTATATATTCATCTTAGTGGATACACTGACCTCTGTCCATGATTCAGTACATCTGCTGGTGTCAAATACACATTCTTTTCTAATAATTGATTGACTAATCATTTCTTTTCCTACTAACCCCTCCCCATGAATACCCATCCCTATAAAGTTTCCATCAGTCACTTGATGGGACAGATTCTGCATGTGCACAGAAGCCCTTCTCAGGAACTAATTTCCTAATTACCCCTGTATTCCAAATTCCTGTTTTCTGAATGACTCAAGAAAGGCCATGTCCTTTTAGGTGACTTCTCCAGACTCTCTGAACATCTCTTGGTCACCACTTCCTTTTCTCTTAACCGTTTTGATTCTTAACCCTTAGATCCTAATTTGCTCTAGCTGCCTTCATACCTTCAGACTCTTGACAACTGTAGACTCTAAACACAAAGGCCAGATTCTCTTTCAAACTACATTTTAATGGTCACACATAATGTCTTCTCTAGTCTCTGTTCCTTGCCAATCAACCCTTTAGCACCCAGATCTGGTAGCCAAATTGTTATAGATTTCTCTTACTAGTAGTTTTCTACTAGTTTTCTCTTGCTAGTAGTTTTCATTCGTCTCCCCATCTTACTGGAAGATCTATGAGATCCACTCGTGATTCTTAGCACTCACTCACTGCAGCAGCGAGCTACAGACCTTTCTCCTCTTTTGTTTCTGCTTGTACAGAATTTTAACCCGATCCCTTAGCCTCGTCCGGTTTCTCTCCTAAGTCTCAGTAATTTTGCCTATGTCCCTAGAGCCTACCCCGCCCCCGCCCCCGCGCGCGCGGTGCATGCCGGTCTTAGCCCCTCTGTAGGGAAAGAGGGTCCGCCATGTTCCCCGGCGGCGCCGCCGCTTGGCTCTGGTAGCCGCCGCCCCCGCCCCCAACCCCGCCCGGCCCAGCACCTTGCCGAGCCCCGGGCCCAGCATGGCCGCCCCGGAGCCGGCCCGGGCTGCACCGCCCCCGCCCCCGCCCCCGCCGCCCCCTCCTGGGGCTGACCGCGTCGTCAAAGGTGAGAGGTGGACGAAGCCCTGGGGGCGGGCGGGAGACTGTCCCCTCCGAGCGGGCCCGGAAGGGCGGGCGAGTGACTGACTGCCTCCCTTGGGGAGTGGCCCCTGGGCGGGCCCCTACTGGGCTGGGCTGAGTCGGTAGCTGCGGATCCGCGGTCTCGCTTGCCTTCTGACCGGGACGGGGGTTTCTCGTGTTCTCGTAGCCGAAGGGGTGAGGCTACTAGCCGCAGTGAACCCTTTTCTTTTCCTATTGGGTCTGTCAAAGCGGCCTGGGGCTGCGATCAGCTTCCTGCTCCGCGACAGCTGCATGCGTGTCTTGCGGGAGCAGACCTAGGGGCGCGGAATCCTTCGGCCACGCGGGACCGGGCGATGAGCCGTCAGATACCACCTCGGGTTTGGCCCACGCCTGTTCCCCTGTGACAGTCCTCCTCCCTATTTGCACTTGCACTAGCCGCAGGGGTTTGCGTCCGGCCCCCAGGTGTCACCCTGCATAGATATAGGGTGAACCATATGGGATTGGACAAAGGTGAAGGGATGAGGTAGGGTTTGCCGGCCCTGACAGTAACTAGAAAGGCCCAGCAACAAGAAAAAAAAAAATAAATAATAAGCCGCCTGGCCAGGAAGAAACATTGACTTAGAAAATCGTCAACACTGGTCAAAGGCCAAAAGGGGGTTACCCCTCCTCTGCAAACACCCACACACTCCCCGTAGAAGAAAAAGTTAATTATTTCTCAGCTGATGCCGAATTTATGGATGTCTACCAACAGGTCAGCAAATTAACTTCAAATAGAGGAATTGAAGGCTAATTGAGAGTTAAAGGCTTAAGATTTCCATGCTTTCTGGGCGAGCCCATCAACTTCCGACACTGCCAGGAAGGTGAAAAACAGAATTTTGGAGTGACTTTTCTTTACCATGTATCTTAGTCAATAGATTGAAATCATCTTAAAGCAAAGTTTTCTTTTTGTATAAGATTTATTTTTGAAAGATACCTTTTTTCCTAACACCATTAGCCCACTTTTTGAAATCTGACCTGTTTCCATTAAAATGTTAAAAACAAGAAAACCCATTTCCCATTGTGTTTTAAATTTTCAATTTGAGCCTCTTCTAATAATAATGATAATTTGTATTCAGGCTTATGAAATTTACTTCTTATAGTTAGTGTATCTAGTTTGACCAAGCATTGGAATGAGCAGGATAAGTTTATGGAATGTTTGTTCTGAGAAATCTTTTTAAAAAGGAAAAGAAAGGTAGTTCAGGGATTTGTCCTATCATGAAATCTTAGAGTTTTATGGGATGGAAACAGGAGACATGGGCTGCCTCTTCATTTTCTTACTGTATTGTTTATTTCCCTGGGCACTTTGTTATTAGATGGACAATCAATCACATTCCTGAACAGTGAGCTTATGGTCTCCATATATATATATATATACATAGATATGTATATATATATATATATATATGTAGTGTTTTCTTTTTTTTTCTTTTTCTTTTTTTTTTTTCCAGGGGAAGGGAAAGTTTATTGCTCCCGGGCGGACCTCATGGACCCAGGGTGGGGGTCAGTAAAGCCGCGCCCATATGTAGTGTTTTCCCTGTACTGCTTTAATACAATAAAAATAAGTTTCCAAACATAAGGCATATTCCTTAAAAATAAGTTGTGAATCCAAGATACTATCATATTTGAAATTTATTGACATGGAATAAAAATAATTTGATAAAGGTAAACTAATTATAATTAATTAGAGCTCATGGATGTGAGATCTCATGTGCTTGTAGTATATTTCATCAAGACAATTTCAATTTCTTTATAGAATTTGTTAGCTAGTTTGAATGCCTGATAGAATATATTTAGAGGTGGTGTATAACTAGTTCGCACTGTGCATGGAGTTTCATCTCTGGCTTCGGTGGAAGTTACTGGGAAATTCATCTTTCATACAGAAATCCACTTTAGATTTTATCTTCAATTCTTTTTTTGCTATAGTACCATAGTATTTGATGATACTATTGCCTGAAGATATGACCACAGTGCTAGTTCAACTTAAGTTTAACCTAAGATCCAGATTTCTTTCTTAGGTTCAGTATGTGCGGGTTGCATCTGTACCTTTTTATAGTAGTAAAATTATGGAGATCTTGGTTGACACTGAACTCAAGTAGTCTCACTTCTTGAAGCTTTAATATCTCAAAATTTGTGTTCTTCTCGTTAGGAGGTCTGTATTTTATGGGCATGTAGGTTTTGAATGGAATATAAATCTTTTTGTGTTTAGTCACCAGTGCCTGAAATTCACTTCATGTGATGTTTGAGGTCTAAGAATACTGTGATTCATATATAAATGTAATTAGTGCTTCCCTGAAATTATTAGTGGTAATAACATATAACTAGTTATAGGTGATTAGATTTCCTAGTTAAAGCAAATTGAGTTCTGAGCTTATACCAGCTGCTGGCTCAGGTCACATTCTTGTTTGAAAACTGATATACCCCAAGTTATTTAGATGAGATATTGTGTCCTCTTAACTATTATATTTTCTTTAACTAGGATAAGAAATTAAAAATAAAATAGAAACAAACTTACTACATCCACATGAGTACCTTACTGCCACATCAGCAAAGTTGGTGTGGGTAACTAAAGTATAAAACGCAGAATTTATGTATATTGCTGTCTTTCCTGCCTTTACCCCTCCCCCCCAAATATTTACTTCACCTGAATTGTCCAGATCCTTTTTGCTCCCCATACGTTTAAAATGTACATTTTTTTGGCTATATAGATGTGGTTCCAGATTTGTAAAATTAGATTGTTCCTTGAGATTATTAAATCTGTTAGTTTTAATACAAAAATTCACCTTAGAGGGCATTTTCTATCCTGTGCATATGTTGTTTTTAGTACCCACCGATGTGACCTACTCTCTAGAATTTATCATTCAACACATTTTCTTTATGTTACAGGTTTTACTAACTTTCTCTCTTAAGTTACCAGACTTTCAGATAAAACCAAATATTGAAATTTGTTTGTGATCTAGTTTTTTATATGGATATATTTCTGATGTGCTGCCTTATGATTCATTTAGGTTCTGTTGCCAAATGCCCTGCTTATAAAGCTAACTACATTTGGCTAATAAAATGTTTTACAGTACCTTATCTTTATTTTGATTGTAGATTTTTAGATGATCCACATAGATGTGTT